TGCGGATAAACTTACTGACTGCAAACATTTAGAAACGCATAACGCAGGCCGTTTAGGGAGGGGGGGGAGCCAAATCCGACAAAAAAAATTATATTTTTCTGCACCTTGAAAAAAAAGCTACAAAATGTGTATTATGAAATATAGGAAAACTTTTAAGCCAGTTATATGACTTTTTGCTCTACTTTAAATAGTCGAATAGTGGTGCCGATAAAGCTAATTAAAACAGTTCTGTACTAAGCGAATTAAAACAAAATTTCTTTTCTTAATAATCATTAAAAGTAAGCATCCTGACGAATGACTATGGTATAAAAAGTAATTATATATATATATATATATATATATATATATATATATATATATATATATATATATATATATATATATATATATATATATATAATATGAGGACCTAAAAAATTGGGGGGGGGGGGGGCGTGTTAATAATTTTTGCCTAGGGCGCTGAATAACCTGGCGCCGGCACTGGTTTTTCGTCAGGAAGATCTCTCATATTTGTCGTCAGTGTAAGTACATGCATGTGACTCAACAAAGGTTGCTTGTTAATGCAACTGGCGACAGTGTAAGTACATGCATGTGACTCAACAAAGGTTGCTTGTTAATGCAACTGGCGACAGTGTAAGTACATGCATGTGACGCCACAAAGGTTGCTTGTTAATGCAACTGGCGACAGTGTAAGTACATGCATGTGACGCCACAAAGGTTGCTTGTTAATGCAACTGGCGACAGTGAGTGCTAGGAGCCACGCAGAATGACGGGGAGTATTTGTCGGAAATCTCCACCCAATAGAATTGTTTTCCCTCCAAATGGGTGTGTCTCACCTGTGAGATCACGTAACAACCTGTCGACTGCCTGAAATGCGTATGCATGTGTCATTGGCGCCTCGTCTCATATAATCAATTTGGATTGCAGAATATGTTGCGCGTGTTGCGAGCTATTGCATGTGGAAGCAGTTGTGAGTTTTAATGGTATTTTAAACACCGAATGTGCAGTACGTCCACCCGTTACAATGTTGCAGCTATTCCTGTAGATGCAACGGTTACAGGAAAGTCTCCCCTGGCTCTGATGGTATGGATCAGGGTTTATAGACAAAGGTTTTCACTGTTCCTGCCGGACCATCTAAGAAGAAGCAGGTTTGTCGCGGTCGGGAGTCTGTGTATGCAGCGTCCAAAACAATGTCAACAGCGTGCTTTTGTTCTGTGTTGAGTTTGTTGTAGTGTTCCATAGCGTGCTTTTGTTCTGTGTTGAGTTTGTTGACGTGTTCCATAGCGTGCTTTTGTTATGTGTTGAGTTTGTTGTAGTGTTCCACAGCGTGCTTATGTTCTGTGTTGAGTTTGTTGACGTGTTCCATAGCGTGCTTTTGTGCTGTGTTGAGTTTGTTGACGTGTTCCATAGCGTGCTTTTGTTATGTGTTGAGTTTGTTGTAGTGTTCCACAGCGTGCTTATGTTCTGTGTTGAGTTTGTTGACGTGTTCCATAGCGTGCTTTTGTTCTGTGTTGAGTTTGTTGACGTGTTCCATAGCGTGGGAGTGTTCAGCCTGAGCGTCGAAGACGGTAGATGAATGACACATCGTAGGATTTGTCAGTGAGGGGTAGGTGTAATTTGTGCAGGTTGAGGCCATGTGGTTTAAGCATGTCATTTATTTCTGCTAGAGCATGCATGCAAGCGGTGCGTGTGGAATATGTTCAGAGAAAGTCCCCAGAAAGGGAGAGTTTATGCGTGTCCCAAAGGTGTGGAACGTTTTGTGGTTCGCCGAAGACAGAGATGAAAACGAAAAGTTGTCGCAAAAACGCTGGCATTCGTATCTCAGATGCCTCTATAAGTGTATCATGCCATATCTTCTCGTTTTTAAGAAGACCCAATAGTTGACACGACTCTTTGAAAGTGTTACATGCCACACCGTTGACAGTTCGTAGATGCTTGAAACTCGTGATGCTTACGGAACGGGTAAGGAGAAGCCTGAGGTAATAACGTTCCGTGTCGTAAATGGCAACAACAGGCATTCTACCGATCACCTTTGCACCTCTTCTAATTCTCTTTTGCCGTTGTCCAGAGGATTGTTGGAATGTGTAATGTTGGGGAACATCAGTGCTTCACTGATTAAGAACAACGTACAGGGCGTCGTTAACCCAATGTTCGCAAACAAAGCTTACAGCCATCTTGCGAAGTTCGATAGTAACAGTTTTGTCGATAAAATTTTTCCAGAAATATGCAACTAATAGAAATAACAGTTACCTGATGAAGGACTTTCGACTACAGTGAAAGACATGTTGACTCAACGAAATATATGTGAAGCGGTGGCCATTGTTAGGAAACAAAGGGGCTAAATCACAACAAAGCTTCGGGGAGAAATGTGGCTCAGACGACTGGAGGAGATACCAAAGCAACTGAGGACACACTGCTGCGGATACACAGTTCCGCATGCCTGGAGAGCGAAAGGCCGATATCCTTCCACAGTCCCCCCTCCCTCCCCCCCCCCCTCTCCCCCCCCCCCCCCCCCCCCCCTTCGTGAGAGCAGCGTCCGTATTTACAGAAGACAATTAGAAGAGCAACTTGTTTTTACCGCCCCATAGTTTCAAATCGTTTAAAAACTAAATTATCTGCCCATAATTGTCGTCACTATATCGACCCAGCTCTACGATGGTAGAAGAGAATTATATAGGTCTAGGTCTAGAATCTAGATCTAGGTCTAGAATCTGGATCTAGGATATAGATCTATATAGATCTAGGTCTAGAATCTAGATCTATATAGATCTAGGTCTAGAATCTAGATCTATATAGATCTAGGTCTAGAATCTAGATCTATATAGATCTAGGTCAGGGGTCGGCAACCTTTTGAAGCGGAAGAGCCAAAAGTTACAATTTTCAAAATTTCCCTGGTTTTAAAGAGCCACTAACATTTTTTTATTTCAAATATTTTACTTTTTTATTAAGATTATTAGTATTTGTTCAAGGAGCTGGAGAGCCGCATATTGATATCAAAATAGCCGCATGCGGCTCGCGAGCCGCAGGTTGCCGACCCCTGATCTAGATCTAGGTCTAGAATCTAGATCTAGAATATATAGATCTAGATTTAGAGATCTAGATCTAGGTCTAGAATATAGATCTAGATCTATTTAGATTAAAAACTCAACAAACGTGACGGCATTTTTTTCGGCAGAACGGATAGAACTTACTATTAACAACAGGCAAAAAAATACTTAGGATTAGCCAACACAAAATGCCCAAAATGTAAATATACATTGTTTCACGTTTTGTTGAAAACTTTTCCCTTACAAAACAGTTTTAAGAAGAAAATCACCACTGTGTTCATTCCGCGTTATTCCAAGTGCGCACTGGATTTACGTTAGGACTTTTTAATTGGCATAACAGGAATTGAGTTGGAAAAACTCTAAGCTTTTGTTAGTGCGCAAGTGTAATATAGATAAACATATTCGCTTAGGAAAAATATGTTCCTAAAATCGTACCCTTTACAGAAATGCTGTAATAATTTAACCAACACTCAACTTAGGACCACTGCTAATTAATACCAATATTACATTTTTTGTCTTCGCTTAACTGCTGTAATAAATTTGGTGGGATAACGTTGTCTGATGAGAGATAGAGAGAGACTATTGATAAGAAAAGTTACTATAGTCTTTAACAAAAACGAATCCGGGCGTCCTCCGGCGTCCCAACATGGGCTAATTGGCGCCCCGGGCCGTACCTAGTGAGTTTGATAGACTATGGATAAGAAGGGTTACTACAGTCCTTAACATGCGTTCGGTTTAGTGAGTTTGATAGACTATGGATAAGAAGGGTTACTACAGTCCTTAACAAAATCGAATCCGAGTATCATCCGGCGCGCCAACGGGGTCCTATTTGGTGCACGGGGGATCTACCCGTGAGCGCTTTGGCGCCTACGTTCAGTTTAGAGAGTTCTAAAGACTATGGATAAGATGGGGTATTGTAGTCGCTTACTAAGTTGAATCAGGTGAGTTGGCGCCACGGGCTATACTGTGAACACAATGAGTTTATGTTTGCATTAAAACTTAGGTTTATGTTCTGTGTAATTTTTTTGCGTTTAGGTTTGCGTTTGCGTTTGCATTTGTGTTTGGGTTGTGTTTGTGTTTATGTTTCAGTTTGTGTTTGTTTATGTGTTTGTGATTTGCTTTGATAATTGCGTTAGTGTTTGCTTTTTTACTTTTTCGTATATACGAAGTATAGAGAAAGTCTTGTAATCGTGCAAAAAAAAATCGAGATTTTTACAAATCCCGACGTTTTACACCTCACTGATACGGAAAAACATAATTTTGCAATCTTGTCCGTATGTCTGTGTGTCTGTGTGTGTGCGTGTGTCTGTGTGTAAACACGATAACTTGAGTACCGTTACAGCTAGGTTGATGAAATTTCATATATAAGTATTTTATCAAAATCGTAGATCCTGAACAACCTTTGAGCGATTTCCGATAAGCGGAAGTGGTACTTTTTCTACTTTGAATTTATAAAAAGTCATGATTGTGTTCCTGTATGAATATCTTCTGTCATGATTGTGTTCTTGTATGATTGTGTTCTTGTATGAATGTCTTCTGTCATGATTGTGTGAGCAGTATTCTGGCAGTAGACATCTGCTAGTTATAAAACACGCTTGAAAACATGATTGTTCTGGTGTTGCTTTGATTTATTTTCAAACTAAGCTTCAAACATCCAAATAAATACAAGAGACATAAAAAATTATAGCAAATAGTTACATTAATTACAAATAGGGCTACAGGTATTGTAATAAAACTGTACAAACAGGGCTAGAGGTATTGTAATAAAACTGTAATAAAACAAAATGACTCTGATCTTACTCGACAAGCGTTGATCTATGGCAAAACTATGAGGGACAGGAGTGTTGCTATGTGGTTGAGAGGGGTGCATCGAGTGTGTGTTTGGGGGGGGGGGGGGGGGGGGGGTCTGTGAGATGGGGCGGGGGCCTGTGACGAGATGGAGTGGGGGATGGGGCGGGGGTCTGGTACCCCTAGGCGTACCCCACCCCGCTGCAGTTGACGTCGACCCTGGCGGCGCTGTGCGGGTGGTTGCACCAGCCGAACGTCTGCCGGTCCAGGATGTAGACCGGCGCGCCGCTGGTACCGGGGCACGTGCAGGCCGTGTAGTGGTACACCGTGTAGCCGGTGCCGGCAATCCGGAACTTCTCCGTCCACCGGCCGATGGTCACTTTCTTGGCGCAGCCGTGTGGGTGGGACACGACGATGGCCAGCCTGTTGTCATGGTTACCAGAGTCTACCTTCTTGCTGATTTTCAGGCAGTGCTGCTTGTACCTGGCCACTGACCGCCGCAGTTTCCTGGCCAGGTCAAGGTCGTGCGTGACGCAGCACAGGTTAAATCTGTCACCGTCCACGTGAGCACCATGAGCGCTGACCCCCATGCCCTCGAAGGTCACGACGGGGCTGGTGTCGCTGTTGAAGCCGACTCGGCACGTGGTGTGCCTCGCTTCCTCCTCGTCATACACCACGTGGGTGGCTGTGACCACGCCCACTTTACACCACATTCGCTTCGGTTTACCGGAAGTCTTGCACACGTGACAGGGGCAGGGCTGGTCCTTCTTGTTGACCGGAACCGTCACGTACCGGACACGCCCACTTCCGGTCCGCAACATCCGGTCACCTATCGCGTTGTGGAACGGATACGGAATGTCCGTGTCTTGGTAGAAGCGGGGTCTGCCCGGGCTGACAAAGTCCGTCTCCACCCTGACCGTGATGGCTGCCAGTGCCCGGATGAGGGTCAGCACGTCCTTGTCCCGGAAGTTCTCCGGCAGGTGCTCAATGTCAAGGTCGTCCACAGGGATGAAGTCGCCGTGCCCCGGGTGTTTCTTGCAGTGGGAGAAGCGCGCGTGGAAGCCTGACTCACCCTCAAAGCTGACCTCCGTCTCGAAGGAATCTGTGACGTCAGAGGGATTAGAGATTTAGGGATTTGTCATGTGATTGTGGCTGGACCTTTTAGTACATAATACTATGGTAAACATACAGTCTAGACACACAGACATGAAGATGAGGAAACTATGTGGCTACAGTATGTTGCTACACCCAGTGGCTACCCTATGTGGCTACACTATGTGGCTACCCTTTGTGGCTACCCTATGTGGCCAGCCTATGTGGCTAAACCATTTGCCTACAGCATGTGGCTACACTGTGTAGCTATATAAAGTGGCTACAGTATGTGGTTACTATATGTGGCTACACTGTGTGGCTACAGTATGTGGTTACTCTGTGTAGCTAAAGAATAAAGCCTAGTACAATCCAACATTCGTCAGATGCTAGAGCTTTAATCAGCCAACAAACCTTGTTGTTTTAATATTGTATAATTTTAAAACTTGATGTTTCAAAATTTGATATTACAAAACTTGATGTTTCAAAATTTGATATTACAAAACTTGATGTTTCAAAATTTGATATTACAAAACTTGATGTTTCAAAATTTGATATTACAAAACTTGATGTTTCAAAATTTGATATTACAAAACTTGATGTTTCAAAATTTGATATTACAAAACTTGATGTTTCAAAATTTGATATTACAAAACTTGATGTTTCAAAATTTGATATTACAAAACTTGATGTTTCAAAATTTGATATTACAAAACTTGATGTTTCAAAATTTGATATTACAAAACTTGATGTTTCAAAATTTGATATTACAAAACTTGATGTTTCAAAATTTGATATTACAAAACTTGATGTTTCAAAATTTGATATTACAAAACTTGATGTTTCAAAATTTGATATTACAAAACTTGATGTTTCAAAATTTGATATTACAAAACTTGATGTTTCAAAATTTGATATTACAAAACTTGATGTTTCAAAATTTGATATTACAAAACTTGATGTTTCTTGACTTCATCTTCTATTCTCCGTGTGGGTCGAAAAACTTATTTAATTCGTCAACAACATACAGCTAATCACCTAAAGTTAATCACCTACAGCTAACCACCTAATTAACCATCACACTTACCGTGTCTACAGCGAGGAATTCTTTGAATTTTCTTTACAGAGCCAGACGTGCTGCGTTTAAATTCTGGGGAATAATTTGTCTGTGTGTTAGTGAGTATATAGGTTGTAGAGGGTATAGGTTGTATAGGTTGTAGACGGTATAGGTTGTATAGGTTGTAGACGGTATAGGTTGTATACGGTATAGGTTTTATAGGTTGTAGACGGTATAGGTTGTAGATGGTATAGGTTGTAGAGGGTATAGGTTGTAGACAGTATAGGTTGTAGACGTATAGGTTGTAGATGGTATAGGTTGTAGAGGGTATAGGTTGTAGATGGTATAGGTTGGGATACGATAACTTAACGACTTAACACAGAAGATAGAACATTAGCTGATGACATAGTATGAGAGTTACTGGACCAAAACGCTATCAGTGTAAGTGGCACATACCTGTACAACTTACACAGGTAGCTGACACCTACCTGTACAACCCAACATGTAACTGACACCTACCTGTAAAGCCTCCACAACAGTCCTGTGTCACGGGTGTGTTCTCCTGACACACCGCCATGTTGTGTGCCAACCAGTGTGTTGTATGTCAAAACGCTCAACTGTTCACCTTACAAAGTGTGTAAGAAACTGCCAGTTGTCTGTAATGAAGAGAAGTCTAATTAATTCAAAATTAACCTTTAGTAAACAAAATTATTATCTATTCATTGCTTCTGACAAAAACAAAAAATTGGTTGTTTATTTAACTTACCAGGAGAAATTATAAAATGTAGGCTAAGTTATAAATTAAACAAAAGTTAAAGATTCTGTACAAAACGGTTATAAAACATACATTTGTTGTATTAAAAAGTAAAAAACAACTCCTATAAAACGTTCATCCATTAGACCACTTATTTCCGGGACCCAAGTTTTGATGAGCACAGTGACACACTCATCAAGTCACACACACACACATGCACACACACACGCGCGCACGCACACACGCACACACACACACACACAGTCGACACAAGTAGTTTGGACTTCCGATGTCAGCCTCGCGATATTTGGGAGGGCAGGTAATTGCTGTGTTGAATGTCGCGTGTGTGGTGACACGCGTATGTGTGTGATGGCACGGTCTAAAGTGGAGTCACATCCGCTACACACGGCTATATTTAGACCAGTGGGTCACGTGACGCGGGCTACAGTGTAGCGACAGGAGCGGTTAGGTCAGGTCAAGTCTAGTTCTCACTTCTAGAACAATCTTTAAATGTAAACAATACTCAACAAGAGCAGTGCTGACGAAGACCTTTTGTTTAAACATTGTGAAGTTAACCGTGCCATGTTTATAGGCTGTAGGTTTAAATCAAGCGTGGACACTTGACTAGAGATGTTACCTGGATATACGTGGCCAGATGTTTTGTGGAGGGGGAGGGGTGGGGTAGCTGTGGCCTCCTGGTCAACCAACGACAGGTAATACTGTGGTAACATACACTTACACACGTTGGCCTATACGCATATACTCGCATACATAAACACGTATTCCCATAAGCAGTCTACATATACCATAATATGTGCAGCTGTTGATAACAAATATTGGCTGCCTGTGTTTCTCGCTCATTAACTAATGAGATATTAGGTCAATTACTAATCTTTAACTGCTACATGATTAGGTCAGTACTAATCTGTAACCACTGCAAGATTAGGTTAAGTACTTCTAATCTGTTAACTAACTTCTAATTAGGTCAAACACTAATCTCAAACCACTACAACATTAGATCAAGTAGCCTACTACTTATGTGTTATCTATCTTCTGATTAGGTTAAGTACTAATCACTAACCACTACAAGATTATATCAAGTATTAATCCGTCTACTACTACAAGATTAGCTACTAATCCGTCTACTACCGTTAGATTAGACTAAACAACACCTTGACTCACCTGACTTCTGCTGGAACTATCCTGGAACCCACACAGCTCTGGCTTTATACCTCTCAGACAAACGGAATTTTCCGGAAAACTCACAACCTTGGACCAGCTACCCAAATCACTCTCTCTGAACAAGCCTCTAAAAATAGCTCGGAAAATCAAGGTATTCGTCTGGTCCACGTCGAGCTTAGCCCGCTAAAACTGCTCTCGTCTGCTGTGTGTGGCAGGTGGAGGTGTCACGTGATCTGACGTCACAGCCCGCAGATCTCTCCAGAAAGGGGATACGAGTGAGTGAGCTAAAAATAGACAGGGTTTTCCCTGCAAAACAACACGTTGCAGTTCTGACGTCACCGCTGCAGTTATTTCCGACACAGAAATTATTTCCGGGTATTCCCGTTACCTTGACCCTGACCTACATATCCTCAGTTAACAAGCCTGTTGGCTGTTTTCATTTTTTTTTTTCCGGTATTCGCCCGCTAACTGCGAAGAAATAAGCGTCAGCTATAAATAGAAACTGGTTTCATCATAGTGTGTAAGATCGGTTTCAGTGTAGAAAAGGCAAGTCTGTCCTGTCAGACTGGTTAGGGTCTGGGTCAGACTTATGACATGGTTACGGTTAAGTTAAAGTTTTATATATCTCGGTGTACGGCTAGGCAGATGTTAAGGCTATGACTAGATTTCTAAGGTAATGAAATGTGGTCTAGCGATGGTAAAATAGGGAGGGGTAGGGAGGAGCAGGGAGGGGAAGGGTAGGGAGGGGTAAGGAGGGGAATCAGTCACAGCTTGTGGCGCTACAATGTTGGTTTCAGTAAGAAAAAGTAACTTAATGAAATTGTCTTTTTTAATCAAATTGAACGTGATTGGTTCAAAACATTAGACTACTCGTATAGGCCTACCTAGAATATATTAAAGGTCGGTTCGAGAACGAACCACGCCATCACCATGTATATTGTACAACATCAGACATCTATGTCAGACTGGCATGACAGCTGTATCAATATTATCACACACAAAAAAATTGGATAAATCCGTTCTATTCTCTCCACCAAACGGGAATCCCCGTGTTACTATTTTTAACAGCGTTGATCGTTCCGATCTCTAGGGGAGAGCAATGCTAGTATTGACATGAGTAACGGTCCTTGTTGTTAAGTACAAAGACAAATAAGAAAGAAAAAAACTTGATTTCTTTAATAAAAGCTTTGCTCGCTTATGAGATCTCTTATCAATTTTAACGACCGAAGTTTTTATTAAAGAAAGCTAGTTTGTTTTATTTCCTTGTTTTCAGAGCATTTAAAAACTGCTAATTGAAAAGCTATTTATTTATATTTGTTTTAGTTTCAAATTCTGTTGATTGCCGAATATCTAAAAACAATTTGGAATCTATCTTTATCATAAGGGATACACATAAGTTATCTAAAGGAAAAAGCAATGTTTACCCGTTTAGAATCTCTTAGAACAATTATTCAACATTTACTTTTTAACGTTTGTTAAGTGATGTGTTCATTAGCAGAGTTAGAAAAACCTGACAAAAATATTTGTTTAACAATTACCGGACAGTAAACAATGATGAAGAGAGGGGGTGGAGGGGGGGGGGTAGAAACTGAGCTATTGGCTGACATTAAGTAAGGGAGTGAGTCATAGCCGAAATACCTGGAATGATATTTCACTGATAATTTTAAAACTCAAAATGACAAAATCTCAAAATGACAAAAATACATTCAACAAGTTTTATAAAACTACTCTTTGTGTTTCATGAAGTAAATATTGAGAAATTTTTGCAGTGTTTTACAAAAAAATATGACATTCTGAAATCATCCATTGAGTTGAGCTGTCAGTGGAATTGAAACTACAGTAGTTAATGTCAGCGCCAGAATCAATGTCAGTAATAGTGTACATGCAAGCGTCTGTTTCATTGTCAGTATCTGTGTAAGTATCAGTGTTAGCACCACTGACATTGTGATACCTTGTGCTAATGTCGGTGCTATCGTCAATACATGTGCTAATGTCGGTGCTTATGCTAGTTTAGTGATATTGTCAATAATATTGTCATTAATATTGTCAGTATTTATTCTATTGTCATTAATATTGTCATTAATATTGTCATTAATATTGTCAGTATTTATTCTATTGTCATTAATATTGTCATTAATATTGTCATTAATATTGTCAGTATTTATTCTATTGTCATTAATATTGTCATTAATATTGTCATTAATATTGTCAGTATTTATTCTATTGTCAGTGGTAATGTCAGACCTAGTTTGTGTATACCGTGCTGCGTTCAAGCTTCGTCATACTTTATGTCAGTGTTTGTCAGTTGCAGTGTTTCTTTCAGACATTTTATTCTCCGGGGGGGGGGGGGGGGGGGCACTAGAAACTTTCAGGGGTGAAAGTTAAATTTCCAGTGGGTGGGGCACTGGTTAAAGTATAATACTTTCTAGATAATTTTTTTTTTTCTAAATCGCACAGAGGGGAGGGGTATCAACCCCCTACTCCCCCAAAAAATACCTGAAAGAAACTCATTTCATTAGACAACTGGACAGACGTCAAGGTACACCCATGACGTCGAAATCCTGACAATCGTAGACAGGTGACGTAGACAGGTGACGTAGACAGGTGACGTAGGCAGGTGACGTAGACAGGTGACGTAGGCAGGTGACGTAAACAGGCAGTTACTTGACGTCACGAGACACTGTGTCACACCACCTCAGGTGTAAAAACGTGGCCTTGAACTTTGAACTCATGAAAAAGTAGGCGAAGAAATTAACACTGGAGTTTATGTTCTCCAACAAGAAGGCCAGACCATGCGACATGAAGAAAATATTTTTTAAACTTCCGGCGTCGTTAAACTCTGGGAACACATTGCGCATGGCAAACAGGAAGTTGCTGGGCAGGTTGCAGACGATGAAGATGAGCATGACAGCGATCACCATTTTGGAGGTCCGGACTTCTTTCTTGTCTTTACTGGGATCCGTTCCTTCGACCGTGTGGGGACCAGGCTGGGGTTTCCTGTTTGGGAGACGCTTAGTGCCGGAAGTGTCGTGGTGGTCGTCTGCTGGTGTAGTCTCGCCCTGTGTGATGGTGTGGCGCCATCTTGTTGCTGGTGTTGTCTCGCCGTGTTTGATGGTGTGGCGCCATCTTGAGGCTCGCATGAGGGAGGAGATCATGATGATCGTGGCGAGGGAGATGACGAGGATGTTGACGAGAGGCAGGCTGATGAAGAGCAGGTTGTTGAGGATCTGGTTGGCCCTGCCCCGGGCTGCTGGTATCATAACCACCCGGGTGATGTTGTGTCTGGAATCGATTACGCTGACCAGGTCTTTCAGGTAGTACACACACATGTACCCCACCAGAACTAGTATCGATACTGATAATGTCGATATCGATGTGTTTCGCGGGGTGAACATCTGCCTGACCTTGAAGGGCAAGGTCACGGCCAGGCACCGCTGGAGAGAGGTCAAGGCCGTGAGCCAGCTGGAGACACGTGTGGCGATGATGCGAGGTATGCTGGCGGTCAGCATCAGGAGGGACGCGGGCTGGAAGGTTAAGGTCGGAGGGTCAAGGATGTTGAGGAGCTCGCAGACGGACAGCCACAAGGAAATGACGTCACAGGTCAGGTCGGCGATGGCCAAACCCATCAGAGAAATGTTAACATTGTCTGTTAGCCCTGAAATAAAATGTTAACATTGTCTGTTAGCCCTGAAATAAAATGTTAACATCTAATATATAAAGCTCAATTCTGTAACGCATATGTTTGTCGTTGGCATTTCTACGGATTTAAGTGTTAGATCAATTATCGTGCGCGTTTGTCTAAATTTATGAGTTAAAAAAATTACTATTAAAAGTGTTGGGAAATCATTTTCATTTTTCAAATTATAGTAATAATTGTCGGCATGTTCATTAAACACAAGTTTTAAAAAGATATCATCTTTTACAAAAATTCTAATTATGTTTTTATTTAGTCCTATAGCGCTTACTTCCCTTTGATAAATTAGGCAAAACACAATTACTTCCCTTTATGAAATCATTGCATTAGTTGAAAAGCATTTACTTTTTAATTACTTTGTTTTGGTGTTGGGAAAAAAATAATTACATAATTAGCGGGGATTGATCAAGTGCAAATGTTGTAGGTATTTTACGGATAAGCTTGGAGTATTATAATTGTTCATTAAATTGAAACAGGCGCGTTCGTTTAAGTGAGTGCAAAAACTATGAATAAGTTGGGGTACTATAGTCGTTTATTAAGCTAAAACAGGCGATTCTGCCCCGGGCGTTTATGTTCGCGTTAGTGTTTTCTTTGTGTTTAGGTGGGTTTGCGTTAGTGGTTGCGTTTTGATTTGGTTCGTTTTTGTTCTTTCTTTTTTCGTTTTTGTTTGTGTTTTTTTTTTGTTTGGGTTTGTATTTGTGTTTTTGGTTGGTTTTGCGTTTGGATTTGGTTTGTTTTCGTTCTTTCTTTTTTCGTTTTTGTTTGTGTTTTTTTGTTTGGGTTTGTATTTGTGTTTTTGGTTGGTTTTGCGTTTGGATTTGGTTTGTTTTCGTTTGCTTTTTCGTTTTTTTTTTTTTTTGTTGGTATTGGTGTTTGTGGTTGGGTTTGTTGTTAGGTTTTTGTTTTCGTTTGCTTTTTTGTTTGTTTTTTCTTTGTGTTTGTATTGGTGTTTGTGGTTGTGGTTGGGTTTGTTGCTAGGTTTTTGTTTTCGTTTGTATTTGTAATTGTGTTAGCGTTATGTTTGCGTTTTGTTGTTTTGGTTTTGGTTGGTCGTGGTTTGGGTGAGCAATGCCGGGTTTATGATGATTACTAAACACACAGGTAATGGTCTTTAACAGAAAGGTTTTTCACAGAAGCCAGAGCAGGGCCTGGCCGGGACGGCTAGTTTTCTTTAAAGCTGTGCAAACTTTGATAACAATAATAAAACTTTGAAAAAAATACTAAGTTTGCTCCTTTGTACGTAGGTAGGGATTTTATTGTCTACACCACCCAACCCATAAAACGTGACGAGGGGGGGGGGGAACATGCACACCCTAGTGACGCCACTGTAATCAGCAATAGAACACAGTCTTGTAATGATTTGCTAATTAACCGATCAAACGGTATCTAGCCTAGGCACCAGCAGACGTACTTTGTTTAAGTCAGCATCGATTTCTGACCTGTGGAGTCACCAAAAGTCACATCTGACTTACGGTAACTCTACAAGTTAGAATCAACAATTTTACACGACTTATTGACTTCGGGACGCCTGACTCCACGTGCCTGACTCCGCGACGCCTGACTCCACATACCTTGTCTCTTGAAGACCCGGATGTTCCAATAGTTTGTGACGACACCAACCAGACACACGGAGCTGGAGAGCCAGATGGACACCACGATCGTCCACATGTGTTCCACGTCATCACTGACGTCATTCATCTTCCCGCCACAGTGCTGTCAAAAAGTAGTACCAAGTGGACTGAAACAATCCAAATCTTCCATATACTGCGTCCATTTATCTTCTTGTAATTAAGGAATGGACGTGTTTGTGTTTTAATTAAAAACCACGGTGAGATAAGTTTGTCTAAACAATTCTTGTCAATTACAAAAAAAACTTGATCAAAGTCAGAATCTTCAAACTTGTTAGTGATTAAACAAATCTTGTTAATTTGTTCCGGCTTAGTTTGTTTAACTAACGTCACCTAGTTTTAGACAAGGACGTTTTTTTTATCAGTTAGATTGGCTGATTAATTAATTAATTAACTGAACTTTAAAGGCAGCACAATTTAATTTCTTCCGCGTTGAAGATAAGCCCTGACTAAATCAACATCAAATTATGAACGGCTTCGGTTAGAAGGTGATCAAAGACAACGCTTACAGAGTAACGTCATTACTTACACGTGTAATGACAAGAGAAACACCAGGCTAATTATGTTTGTGTAATTATTCGCATTCGTTAATAATTATTTACTCGATGAGTTTACATTCGTTCGATGTCGATGACGTCACTTAGTTGTGTGGGTTGGTAGGTTTTTGTTTGCGGATCAATTTTCAACCAACATCAGGACATGGTGTCATGTTGGTGGTTGGTGTCACATGGTGTCATGTTGGTGGTTGGTGTCACATGGTGTCATGTTGGTGGTTGGTGTCTTCTAGCGGGGCGTCTTCGAACAGGTTGTAGGTGACCAAAAACTGGGAACATGTTTCACCAAAAACTGGGAACATGTTCCAGGCGACCAAAAACTGGGAACATGTTCCAGTTGACCAAACACTGGGAACATGTTCCAGGCGACCAAAAACTGGGAACATCTTCGTGGTGTCTGTCCTCCATCTTTGCCGTACCACGGCAAATATTTGCCGACTCTCTGTGTAAGTTACCTGCTTGAACCTGGCGGTTCATGGGATAGGTGAAGTAGAGTAGATTTTCATCTGTTGTTGTGACCTCGGTATATGATCGGATAGGTGAAGTAGAGTAGATGTTCATATGTTTTTGTTAGCTCGGTATATGATGGAAAAGGTGAAGTAGAGTAGATGTTCATCCACACGTTTGTTTACAACTAACCACTCGTTGTACACTGTGTTCAAGTCGAGAGAATCTCCATTCATAAACCTTCGTTTCCCGTCGCTGTTTTATCCCAAATTACCCGAGTTCACCTTTAAACATAGTTTATTACTATGATGGATTAAACAATTAACTATAAGTTATTACACGTTAGTATAGTAGTTTAGCTATTAACGCTTGCCTATAGTGACGAGTTAATACTAATATATCACTTATAAAATAGCCATTCTTATTGTACGCAGTTAAAATTGAATTATTTCATTCACGCGAAAAACGATTTTTTAATAATTTACAAAACCATTAAATACTTTCGTCGCCTATCATAGAACCTAATCTACACCACAAAGACATCTATGTCTGTATCTGTAAATCAAAGAACTGATCAACATTAAAAAAAAACTTTTGAGCCCGCAGTCGCCAGCAAGGAGCAGATAACGAAACCAAAACTGGAACAGAAAGGAATCAATAACTAAAAATAGCAACTAGCTTTCCCGTTTTGTGCTAACCTTCCCGACAAGCCAGCGTTGTTTCCAATCTAAAAATAGATGGTTGCGTTATGTTGGGTATAAAAAGGGGAGTGATATGTTAGTACAGTCAACAAATGAAAACAACATATACGCAAGAGTTTTGGGAGCATGTCTTTGTAAGACACGTGTACATGAAGGATATCACCACATCGAGGCTGGAAGGTAAGGACACGGGTTTCTTCCACTTGCCGGGGTCATCTAGCGGGGGTCAAGACAACTTCGAGTCTCAAAACAAACTGACCAAAAAATCAATGAAACGATATCTCAGGCAACTAATCACTAAAACATTGACCGCTGGTGTACCGTCTAAGACCTACAAAGGCCGGGTTTGCTACACGCTCCTGTGTGATCACGTGATAGGGTTTGTGGTGAGGGCCAGTGACCTGTCAGTGACAGCTACACGGTGTGTCAAGGTCATCATTGATAGAAACAACGTGTTGATGACGGCATATCCGGCATGGGAGGAAGAACCTGATTAGCCGTACCACCAGCTTCTGATTGGATGTCCTACACGTCATTGTGGTTCATTGACAGTCGCGGTCCATCGACCGGGGATTCGGTTGATGGTCGCGGTAAGGTCATTTTTTATGTTGACCATCGCGGTCCATCGACCGAGGATTCGGTTGATGGTCGCGGTAAGGTCGATCTTTTTTTATGTTGACCATCGCGGTCCATCGACCGAGGATTCGGTTGGTGGTCGCGGTAAGGTCGATCTTTTTTTATGTTGACCATCGCGGTCCATCGACCGAGGATTCGGTTGATGGTCGCGGTAAGGTCGATCTTTTTTTATGTTGACCATCGCGGTCCATCGACCGGGGATTCGGTTGATGGTCGCGGTAAGGTCGATCTTTTTTTTTATGTTGACCATCGCGGTCCATCGACCGAGGATTCGGTTGATGGTCGCGGTAAGGTCGATCTTTTTTATGTTGACCATCGCGGTCCATCGACCGAGGATTCGGTTGATGGTCGCGATGACGTCATTGTTTGTTGTCGTTGTGACGTCATCCCTCTACCTGAGCCTACCTTGACGCGGTTAGAGGGCTTACCTGTCTCTCCCCTGCACCTGATACGGTCGTCCAACATTTATCCAACATCCAACAAACATCCAACAAACATCCAACAAACATCCAACAAACATCCAACAAACATCCAACAAACATCCAACAAACATCCAACAAACATCCAACAAACATCCAACAAACATCCAACAAACATCCAACAAACATCCAACAAACATCCAACAAACATCCAACAAACATCCAACAAACATCCAACAAACATCCAACAAACATCCAACAAACAGACGATCTACTCACACCATCAACCAGACTTATCCCTACAGCAGAACGAACGTATCAGTTGCCGACCAGAGACAAAACTAAAGGGCTCTCTTATTGTTTTAGCAGCGCTAATTAGTTGTAATTATCATATCAAGTGACATCTGGTCATGTCCACTCCACAACACAATCTAAAAGTTGAAACATCTAACTTCATTCTGAATCTTTTTCTTCTTTAAATTCGTACAATTTTTTTTTAAATGGTGCTGTAATATGTTTTGACAGTTTATTTAAAATTTCGGCGTAGAATAAAACTAAAATGAAAACAACTAGATATTTTATTTATTGCACGCTTTGTTTGGCTCTATCAAGTGAGCTGGAAGAGCGTAGATAGGCCTGGTCAGAAGATAATGAGTTAGGTCGCTTTCGGTTGTAATAGTAGCAATTAATTATGCACAAATTGGAAATTGAGTAATTCTCCGATTAATACATCGAAGACATCAGTGGTGACATCGATTCTTTTGTCGCCAAAAATGCGAACGCAATTGGCTTTTATTTTCAAGAGTAAAGAGAAAAATAATTAAAATATTAATTTGGGACAACATCTAGATGAGTAATTTGTTCACACGACACACACTGACTAAACAAAAACAATTTAAACAAAGATTTTCCTGAGTCTAAAATGTAATATTTTTATCATCCATGGAGTCCCCTAATGAAAGACACACAAAGGTTTAGACGTATCCAGCTGAAATAAGACACAGCAACAAATATTGATTTCATGGCACAGTGAAGGACACAAAACGGATTTTCTTTTTTGAACCAGCTGCTAAAAATATCCGCCTCGGTTTTACCCGCTGACGTTACCGAATTGAAGGAATCGGGTAGTTCACACACGCACACACACACACATATATATATATATATATATATATATATATATATATATATATATATATATATATATATATATATATATATATATATATATATATATATATATATTACCTTCCCCGCACACCCTCACACCCCACGCCTAACATACTGTATATCAGTGTGCTACGTTTCAGTGGGAATCCCCGAAGGCTAGTTACACATTTTTTAATTAGCTGTAAACTTCTATCATAATAGAGTTAGCTTTGTCGATCGCTATAGCACGCTACTGAACTAAGCCACAATTCATAAACCTTGTACTAGCAACAAGCCAAACAGCTTAATTAACTGTAATCCTAAATCCTAATCCTTGGTCTAACTCTAACTGTATGTCTATATACAGAGTTAAGGTATCGAGGTTTAATCAACACAGGATTTTAGTAATCGATTCCAGAACGATCTAGGTGGCCACACGTGATTGTATGGTAGTGATTGCGTGATTGTGATTGTTTGATGGTGATTCCGTGATTGTGATTGTATAGTGATTGCTTGATGGTGATTGTGTGGTAAACTGCTCTACCAAATATGACGTCAGATTGTTTTCAACAAAACGTCATGAAGTCAGTAACAGCCATCTTGTCTGGATGACTTAGACATTTTTAAAGTCATTCAACCTAAGTCATGCAATCAAAATAATCGCCAATGTTTACTATTTTGATTTGACATCAACATTTTTTCTGGAAAAAAAAATCTGGCAACTTGAAGTAGTGTAAAAACGTGGGTAGCTTCCCAGATTTAGCAGATAGTGTGGGATTGGGAATGTAAGTAGCAGATCTAGAATGTTCCATAACATAGATTTTTAAATTGTTTGTTTAATATATGTGACAAGATGTGATGTTTCTTCATTTAAAATTACTCATAGACTTCCAAAATACTTGATGTAATTCATAGGTTGAGGACACTGTCTAAAGTAGATTTGAACCTACTATTCATGTGGTCTATAGTAGATTTGAATCTGTTACTCATGATGTCTAAAGTAGATTTGAACCTACTACCTATAATGTCTAAAGTAGATTTGAACCTACTGCTCATGATGTCTAAAGTAGACTTGAACCTACTGCCCATGTTGTCTAAAGTAGATTTGAACCTACTGCTCATGCTGTAGTAGGCGAATATGTTGACGCTGGAGCTAACCGCCTCCAGCAGTAGCCCCAGGCTGTATGACGTCATGAAGAGATTCTTCAGACGACCGAAGTCGTTGAAGCCAGGGACGATGTTTCTGGCGGCAACCAGCACGTTGCTGGGCAGGTTGCAGACGATGAATATCGTCATGATGACGACGATAAGTTTGGAGGTTTTCGTTTCCTTCGTCGTCTTCACGTCACCATTGGAATACCCTTGACCTTTGGTATCATCACAGCCTTGACCCTTGACGTCAGCGTGAGAGTCTAGTTTTGTCTTCCTCTCTCTTCTCGTGAGATTAGCTTCAGCGTGGCTGGGTATCTCTGATCCTGACATCACTTTGTACCGCCATTTTGTTGCCCGCTTCAATGACGTAATCATGACGACCGTGCACATGAGGATGAGAATGAAGTTGGCGAAAGGTAAAACGAGAAAGAGTGTCACGTTGACGATTTCGTCGATTTTTCCCTTGGTCACGTAGACGTAGAACAACTTTGTCACGTTCGTGGTCTGGTCGACCTTGACCTGGATCTCGCGGACAGTAAACATCCACAGGTAGCTAAAGGCTACCGCCAGAGTGACTGTGGCTACCGTGGCTACCGAGCTTCTAGCCGTGATGATTTGCCTGGACCTGAAGGGTAGCACGACAGACAGACAGCGCTGGACAGAGATGACGGCTGTCATCCAGCATGTCAGACGCGACACGACGATGCGCGGCAAGGCGGCCGTCATGACGTACAGGCCGAAAGCGTCGAAGGTCAGGTATGGGGGGTCGAGAAGTTCAAGGCCGTAACAGACGGATGACCAGAGGGTGATGAGGACAGAGACTAGGTCAAGGACAGACAGCCCAAACAACAGGATGGTCACGCTGTCCTGGAGGCCTGGGAGAAAAAATGGGAAGTGTCAACTGGTTTGTGTTGTGTTTGAATTCTGTTTGTGTTGTGTTTTAGTTCTGTTTGTGTTGTGTTTTCATTCTGTTTGTGTTGTGTTTTAGTTCTGTTTGTGTTGTGTTTTCATTCTGTTTGTGTTGTGTTTTAGTTCTGACCTACCATGTCTTTTAAAGACCATGATATTGATGACGTTTGTGACGATGCCCAGACCGCTGACCCCAGCAGACGTGAAGACTGGCACCAGGATGTTGAACCAGAACTGGAACTGGTCACTCAGGTCAGCTGACATGCTGGGGGCAGAGGTCGCTGTGACCTGTCCTTGACCTGGTGACGTGGCAAAGGTCAAATGACTCAACAAGTGACTTGTGACTGTCACATCCATGGTGTTCTATCTACTGACAGCATGCGGGCGTAGGTAGTACACAAACGGTATCTGTAGGTAGTACCCAAACGGTATCTGTGGGTAGTACACAAACGGTATCTGTAGGTAGTACACAAACGGTATCTGTGGGTAGTACACAAACAGTATCTGTGGGTAGTACACAAACGGTATCTGTGGGTAGTACACAAACGGTATCTGTGGGTAGTACACAAACGGTATCTGTGGGTAGTACACAAACGGTATCTGTAGGTAGTACACAAACAGTATCTGTGGGTAGTACACAAACGGTATCTGTAGGTAGTACACAAACGGTATCTGTGGGTAGTACACAAACAGTATCTGTGGGTAGTACACAAACGGTATCTGTGGGTAGTACACAAACGGTATCTGTGGGTAGTACACAAACGGTATCTGTGGGTAGTACACAAACGGTATCTGTAGGTAGTACACAAACGGTATCTGTAGAAAATCTTAAGACTGTTATTATATTAATAATGATGACGATAACATTGTTTTATTTCTACAAATATTGAACACTACACCTAATTATATCGATTTTTTAAAAACTTTGGTTCATTGTCAACCAATTACAACACAGATTTTGAAGACAATGTTGTAATTCTTTATTTACAAAGTGCAGAACTGTGTTCATGTATTCTCCCTATGGAAATTACAGCGCGTTTGTCTTCGTATTAAAAGAGATCTGATTGCAACAGTCCAATTAATTTTAATTATTTCAACGGGGGAAAATAAAATTTCGATACACAGACAAAGCCACGATAGGTTAGTGACGTCACTGACACTGTAATTAACATAATTGATCAGTGGACGGGGGTGGGGGTAGGGGAGGGCCGGGGTGAGAAACTAACGTCATCTTCTAGGACACCAGGACTTTTCTTTCCTGAAAAAAAAAATAATTTTTAATTTTTAGGTTATAAAATTGTTAGTTTAGTGTCGAATCATGTGTAATTGTATTAATTTCGTTTTTTTTTATTAGAAGTGTGTGGTGTTATTAAAACTGTCATTATAATTAACTTGCTGTAAGGCCTATGTAGCTATACTGTTAATATCCGATGGTAGGATTATAATGGTAACCATTATAAAAAGCACCACCGAAGAAAGTCTACCGCCACCCCCCCCCCCCCGAAAATATCAAGTGCCCCCCCCCCCTCCCCGGAGAAAAAAGTCTGGAAGAAATACTGAATACAATACATCAAGATTTGGGGTAGCGTTTAACTCGACATAAAATGTGAAGCTTACAAATACAGCTCTACGTCACTGAGTCCTCTCAGCAGTTTTGGGTACCTGGCTTGAAAGAAATGCTGGGCACAAAAACTAAGACCGGTAATGGCATGGAGATGGGCATAGTGTTGGGCATACGGATGGGCATAAGGTTGGGCATACAGATGGGCATACGACTGGGCACATTTGGTCTACTCTCTCGACAATCAACTGTAAATGGCTACTTTGGTACAAATATTGATCTCTTTGAGACGGATAAACCACCCTACACGTCGTGAATTAATGTGTGTTTACCGTATAACGATTTCCTTATTGATTATCTCATTGATTATCTTATTGATTACTTCACTATTTACCTCATTTACCTTATTGATTACCTCATTGTTGCCGGACACATAAAGCTGCCAGTATAATGCACACAAAAACACCCAAACGATCAATGCAATGCAGGTTGTGAAGATATAAGGGAAGTAACCATCGCCGTCCTGTCTCAACTGTATTTTAACGGTTATCCCCCGTTATCGTTATGCCAACCTTCAAGGCTTGAAGTGCTGACAATCGACTTGGTATAACATTGGTCGTAAAATGGTAAGTTAAGATATTACATTCTTTGAATCCGTGGACAATTTTTGTTGTATTTTTTTTTTATTTCTGCTAAGAATTTTTTTGATTGGTTGCGATCTTTTTTGTTGTTCCAGTGGCGTGACTAGGTCGGGTGACACTTAATTTGCTAACCTGGGGTGTCATACCGTCTCTTCCCTCCCGGATGGTGTCAACCTTGGACCGATGGTAATGATATATATATATATATATATATATATATATATATATATATATATATATATATATATATATATATATATATATATAAGTCTTCTTATACATTAGGTTTTAACAGCTGTTTATATGTATGTATATATAAAAAATCGATATAATTATATGCAGTGTTCAATATTTGAAGAAATAAAACAATGCTATCGCCATCCTTAATATGACAACAGTCTTAAGATTTTCTACAGATACCGGTTTGTGTACTACCTACAGATATATATATATATATATCAGAAATTTGGTGTCACCCCATCAACGTTGTCATCTGGTGCGGCTATCAACCGTCCTGTGATTTCACTACAACTCCCACCCTTAACACACCCCCTCCTCATTCACTCCTCACGCATTTCTTCACCCTTACCCCATCCCCCACCCCCCACCTACGTACCTACCTCTCCCCATCCCACACCCCCCCCCCACCTACGTACCTACCTCTCCCCATCCCCCACCCCCCACCTACGTACCTACCTCTCCCCATCCCCCACCCCCACCTACGTACCTACCTCTCCCCATCCCCCACCCCCACCTACGTACCTACCTCTCCCCATCCCCCACCCCCACCTACGTACCTACCTCTCCCCATCCCCCACCCCCACCTACGTACCTACCTCTCCCCATCCCCCACCCCCCACCTACGTACCTACCTCTCCCCATCCCACACCCCCCCCCCACCTACGTACCTACCTCTCCCCATCCCCCACCCCCCACCTACGTACCTACCTCTCCCCATCCCCCACCCCCACCTACGTACCTACCTCTCCCCATCCCCCACCCCCACCTACGTACCTACCTCTCCCCATCCCCCACCCCCACCTACGTACCTACCTCTCCCCATCCCCCACCCCCACCTACGTACCTACCTCTCCCCATCCCCCACCCCCACCTACGTACCTACCTCTCCCCATCCCCCACCCCCACCTACGTACCTACCTCTCCCCATCCCCCACCCCCACCTACGTACCTACCTCTCCCCATCCCCCACCCCCACCTACGTACCTACCTCTCCCCATCCCTCACCCCACCCACCCAACAGTTAAAATAAGTTTTAAAACCTTACGATCATAAATTTTCTCCTATAAAATTTTACAAATAACCTTGATTTAATCATTTTTGTGTGTCGCAAGTGTGTGTTCACCTGTTGTGTTACAGCCACCTTTAGCCACCTTTAGCCACCTTTAGCCACCTTTAGCCGCTCACCGTGTGTGTCCCTCTGACGTCAGGGTGATACCCTCACCTCAAGGTGATTCCTCCCACCATCATCAAAGTTAAACTAATAAATGTTGACAAGCTTGCCGTCACCAAAAGCCGACTTGACGCGCTACCATGTGACACGAATGTTCGCAGCTTCACAAAAGTGCAAGCGCAGAGATTTCACAAGGCAGTAACCCCGTTCAGTAACGCCCCCGCATGCGGTCACCACCCAATTAAACCAGTTCTAACTTGGTCGTCAGACGGCCGTTCACACTCGATAAAAATAAAAGACGCGCTCACGTGTGTTACTGTCTCGAAGTTTAGGGCCGCATGGGTTAATTCCCTTCTCTGTGATATGGAGTTCCTCGCCCTTTGATAACACAATAAACAACAGAACTACAGGGGGTGATTTCAAATTTCTTATTTAAACAGGTAGGGGTGAAGCTGCTAAATGCACACTATATATATATATATATACATATACATATATATATATATATATATATATATATATATATATATATATATATATATATATATATATATATATATATATATATATATATATATATATATATATATATATATATATATATATATATATATATATAATGTAGCATAGGCGTTAAATTGATAGTTCAGATAAATCCTTGTATGATTATTTGTACACAAAATGGTGGTCGAAAAATCAATCGTAAGTTCTTTACAATAATTATCATTAAAAACGTTTTTAAAAACCCACGTTTTCTGATTGAACTAAAAAGTAGAAAATAAATGCTATACATCACAATAATGCAAGCGATCACTCTACTATAAGCGATGAAAAACGTGGGGCGCCGAAGTAAAAGTTTTTTATCGGTCATTGTTAATATAAGATGTAAAAGTTATATTACTATTGATTAGATAATACTATTGACTTTTATTAGGGAGCTTGTAGAGAGTCAACAGTATTAGAAACTGTAAGAAAATCACGGCGCCCCACGTTTTTCATCGCTTATAGTAGAGTGATCGCTTGCATTATTGTGATGTATAGCATTTATTTTCTACTTTTCAGTTCAATCAGAAAACGTGGGTTTTTTTTTAACTTTTTTAATGATAATTATTTTTTACTTTTTAGTCTTTGTCTGTTTGCATTAAAATCTTGCTATCGATTTTATCTTTTCGCATTCACTTTTTTTTTGGGGTAAACGAAGACAACTCGTAAAAAACACGTGCCTTGAACCCGTGTCGAGTGGGTTAGCAATTGTGTGCCCAACCACTCGACCATATCGTCTCCCCCATCCTGGCCACCAGTTGTTACGTTCTGGTTGTTTGTACACAAACACCGCGTGACAACTACTCAGTAAGCAAAAAGAGGGAGAGTACCGATCCTTGTTTTCATCAAATTACAATTACTGGGTTATGTCCCTTTTCCCCCACGTTTTTTTGTACAATTATATAGCGGTCTAAAATGATCAATAAAATGTTTCCATGGATCAATTTAGTACTAATAACAATTGAATATTCTATTGTCATCGGAAACAAAGCTTCCCTGAAAATTTCAGCGCGCTAGCTAACTGGGAAGTGCCCGAAATTTCGATCGCAAGATTTGATTGGAAAGACGCGAAAGCAAGTTAAAGAAAACGTGGGAAAATCCCCAACAATTACCGTTCTTTATTTAAATAAACAGCTACGTCTTTTAATGGGAGTTAAATGTGCATTTTAATGAAAAGTTTAAAATTTAGTTAGTTCCCTTTAATTTCTTACGTATTAATTTTTACTTTCTCGTATACGAAGTATATAGAAAGTATTGTAATCGTGCAAAAAAAAATCGGAAAAACATAATTTTGCAATCTTGTCCGTATGTCTGTGTGTGTGTGTATGTGTATGGTTGTCTGTGAACACGATCACTTGAGTACGTTACAGCTAGGTTGATGAAATTTCAAAGCTAAGTATTATATCAAATTTCCGGTAACCGGAAGTGGTACTTATTCTACTTTCAATTTTTCAAAAGCCTATAACTTGAGTACTGTTTCAGATAGATAAATGAAATTTCACATGTAAGTAAAATAACTAATTATCTGCCTTTTATCAAAATTTGAGTAATTTCCTTTGACCTGAAGTAGTAATTTACGCTATTTCCGATTTCTCAAAAAAGCCATGTGAATTTATAAAGTACTAATAATATTCCGCACTATTATACACAGATTTTTGTGGCGTGCACTTGGTGTGCAATTCTTTTTTCTACGAGATTCTATTCTATTTTTAAAAGTTTAAGTAATTAAAAACTGATTAAATATCATGTCTATAATACGAGGTGCCATCCCCAGTATTGTTATATAAGAATATTCGAGAAAGTTTAGGGGAGATCACTCCCTGTTTATTTTTTAGTTACCTGCGCCTGAACGGCAATATAAAAAAAAATGGTCCCGTGTGTATTGGGTCAGGTCAGGGGTCACTTCATTTACTAGATGGCACGGCTTTGTTAATTAATCATGTCATTAGTGTATTTTTGTTCCACAGGTGCCTAATATCTAAGTTTTAGTTGGGGGTGTGTTCTATGAAAGAGGGGGGTGTGTTCTATGAAAGAGGGGGGTGTGTTCTATGAAAGAGGGGAGTGTTCGATAGGGCTCCCGTGCGTCTTAAATTAGCCAGAGAATTTGGCCGTGTGGACATTCTGTTGAGACTAAGTTGGCCATGAGACCATAGTTCCAACACCAGTGAGCCAGAGTTTCTTCCAGGCATCTCTTCGTCCCCTCCCTCCCCCCGAAAAAAAGTCAACCCCCCCCCCCCCCCAAACGAAATGGAGTTTAGAAAATATATACTTTTAACAGTGTCCGCCTTCCAACACCCCCCCCCCCCTCCACCCCGGAAAATTCATGTGCCCTCCCCTCCGGAGAAAAGGAGAAAAAAGTCTGGAAGAAACACTGCATTGGGCCATGTTATCTGTATCCTGACACCTCAAGGTGACACCTCACATAAAATTGTTGGCCTCGCTTCTCTCCCCCCCCGACTGTAAATATTGACAAGCGTGTCACGTGGTATTCACGGCACTAGTGTGTTGGTGTGTTGGTGTGTTGGCCAGCAGCGTGTGTCACCACACAGCGTTGTCACCAGTGTGTCACCAGTGCTGTCCGTGTCACACTCGTGGTGTCAGTGCCATGCGTGTCGTGTCAGTGACACAGGCGTGTCGTGTCAGTGACACACGAGCTATGACTGTCCTATCGACCCGGGAAATAAATCCCGACCGTCCACAAGACCTTGAGCCAGTGATCGTGTCAATAGAGTGTGTAGGCCTACATGCATTGATCGCTCAGTGTGCTGGATCTACACACCCAAGTGAGCGATAACAGTGAGTGTGTAACACTAACTGTGTTTATCTTAGTGTTTTATGTAATCACTAATGTGACGGCTAGGCTTTAAAACAACAAACTAATAAACACGTGTTGATATCCAGTTTGTTAAATCTTAATCACCTGCCTTCATTAGCAGCGCTAAATCCGTAAGTAATCTGGTATGTGTGTTTATGCCTGGTATGTGTCTAAGTGTGTGTCCATGTATTTGTGTGTCTATGTGTGTCTGTGTGTGTGTATGTGCTTGTGTGTGTCTATGTGTGTGTCTAGCCTGTGTTGTATCGTTTGGAACAAGCTTCTTTACTTAACTCCGTTAACGAAATGACCCACACCCAACACCGACCCCAGTCGCAACTAACCATCTAAAGTAAGGGTGACATCATGTGACAGCTTCTAAAGTAGGGGTGACACCATGTAACACCTTCTGAAGTAGGGGTGACACCATGTAACACCTTCTGAAGTAGGGGTGACACCATGTAACACCATCTGAAGTAGGGGTGACACCATGTAGCAACTTATGAAGTAGGGGTGACACAATGTAACACCATCTGAAGTAGGGGTGACATCATGTAACACCATCTAAAGTAGGGGTGACACCATGTAACACCATCTGAAGTAGGGGTGACACCATGTAACAACTTATGAAGTAGGGGTGACCTCATGTTACACCATCTAAAGTAGGGGTGACATCATGTAACACCATCTGAAGTAGGGGTGACACAATGTAACACCATCTTAAGTAGTGGTAACACCATGTGACACCAACTGAAGTAGGGGTGACACCATGTAACAACTTATAAAGTAGGGGTGACACCATGTAACAACTTATGAAGTAGGGGTGACACCATGTAACACCATCTAAAGTAGGGGTGACATCATGTAACACCATCTGAAGCAGGGGTGACACAATGTAACACCATCTTAAGTAGTGGTGACACCATGTAACAACTTATGAAGTAGGGGTGACACCATGTAACACCATCTAAAGTAGGGGTGACATCATGTAACACCATCTGAAGTAGGGGTGACACAATGTAACACCATCTTAAGTAGTGGTGACACCATGTAACACCATCTAAAGTAGGGGTGACACCATGTAACACCATCTGAAGTAGGGGTGACACCATGTAACAACTTATGAAGTAGGGGTGACACCATGTAACATTATCTGAATTAGGGGTGACACAATGTAACACCATCTTAAGTAGTGGTGACACCATGTAACACCATCTAAAGTAGGGGTGACACCATGTAACACCATCTAAAGTAGGGGTGACACCATGTAACACCATCTGAAGTAGGGGTGACACCATGTAACACCATCTGAAGTAGGGGTGACACAATGTAACACCATCTTAAGTAGTGGTGACACCATGTAACACCATCTAAAGTAGGGGTGACACCATGTAACACCATCTGAAGTAGGGGTGACACCATGTAACACCATCTGAAGTAGGGGTGACACCATGTAACACCATCTGAAGTAGGGGTGACACCATGTAACAACTTATGAAGTAGGGGTGACACAATGTAACATCATCTGAAGTAGGGGTGACACCATGTAACACTATCTGTAGTAGGGGTGACACCACGTAACACCATCTGTAGTAGGGGTGACACCATGTAACACCATCTGTAGTAGGGGTGACACCATGTAACACCATCTGAAGTAGGGGTGACACCATGTAACACCATCTGAAGTAGGGGTGACACCATGTAACACCATCTCAAGTAGGGGTGACACCATGTAACACCATCTGAAGTAGGGCTGACACCATGTAACACCATCTGAAGAAGGGCTTACACCATGTGGCCTACAGTCCGGGCTACTCTTTAGAACATGGGCTGCGTCTATATCCGGCGTCATATGACCTTTTGACGCCACTGCCTCTGACACCCCACCCCCACCTATCTAAGCGTACAAAAGACAAGTCTCTAAAGTAGGCCTATTGTATAACGGTTTGATAACTTCCGTCTAGGGCTTGAGTTACTTCTTTTCATGTCAACACACGAGTTGCATCCCTTTATCCCAACACACGAGTTGCATCCCTTTATCCCAACACACGAGTTGCATCCCTTTATCCCAACACACGAGTTGCATCCCTTTATCCCAACACACGAGTTGCGTCCCTTCATGTCAACACGCGAGTTGCGTCCCTTTATCCCTTCACACTAGTTGCGTCCCTTTATCCCTTCACACTAGTTGCGTCCCTTTATCCCTTCACACTAGTTGCGTCCCTTCATGTCAACACACGAGTTGCGTCCCTTCATGCCTACTCTGACACGGTGTTACTTATTAAGCTACACACTTCTACAGCAGGTAGGCTATTTAACACGTTGACAGGGGGAGGGGGAGGTGGAATTAATTAGTCTGTCTAACAAAGGTCATTGTGTCTATTTATACCACGCAAAAAGAAACGGCCCAAGATGTCGTACTTGTAGTGTAAGGAATTGGGAGGTCCAATATTTCTTTCAGATTGGATATCTGGTGGATTCGTTGTGGATTTTATGTCACACATTTATGTCATTTAAGGTGTCAATGGTGGTCTCATTGATAGTGTTTGATGGTGTTTGATGGTGTTTGATGGTGTTTGATGGTGTTGAGTTGTTGCAGATTGTTGTTGACCAGTTAATGTGTGGGCCAGATTGCTGGAGTAGGCAAGATGAAGCGATGGAAGGTTCTAGAACTTTGGCTGCTGCTTCACTTACTGCCCAGTGTCCAGGGCAAGTTTAGAGAGAAGGTTCCAGGTGAGTGCACAACTATTGGGTTGTTGTATGTTTGTTGTACTGTATAGTGTGTTTGTTGTATGTTTGTTGTATGTTTGTTGTATGTTTGTTGTATGTTTGGTATGGTTGTTGTATGTTTGTTGTATGGTTTTTGTATGTTTGGTATGGTTGTTGTATGTTTGTTGTATGTTTGTTGTATGTTTGTTGTATGTTTGTTGTATGTTTGTTGTATGTTTGGTATGTTTGTTGTATGTTTGGTATGGTTGTTGTATGTTTGTTGTATGTTTGTTGTACTGTATAGTGTGTTTTTGTGTATGTTTGTTATGTTTGTTATATGCATTTTGTTGGATGTTTGTTGAACTGTTTGTTGGATAGTGTTTGTTCTCCAGTGTTTGATATATTTAGGATGCAGGGTTTCTTTCAGACATTGTTCCACGTACTTAAGGGGTCACTCAAAACTTTGGGGGGGGGGGGGGGGTGACCAGGCACTGGTTAAAGTTAGTTTGTAAGGTGCTTGTTGTAGCCTTTAATGCTACTTGAGTGATTCTTGCACCTCTAGATTTTAGTTTCTTTCTACATGCATCAGTTTTATCCGTACACTTTCTCTCAAACTCTCCCTTTCTCTCTCTCTCTCTCTCTCTCTCTCTCTCTCTCTCTCACTTTTGTTCTCTCTTGTTCTCTCTTGTTCTCTCTATCCCATTTATCCCATCCCTCATTAAACAATATGTAACATTGTTTGTGTCCCCAGAACTATCCTCTCAATGTGGCAACCCTGTTGAGCAAGTTGTTCTGGCCACTGGCCAGATAAAGACGACCATAGCAAACTTTACACGCACCAGCTGGCCGGACAGGAACTCGTCCTCAACACAGAAGTGAGTTGTCTAGAGTAGGACAATGTCCTGAGTAAAGTGGATATAGTGTAGCACAATGTCCTGAGTAAAGTGGATATAGTGTAGGACAATGTCCTGACTAAAGTGGATATAGTGTAGCACAATGTCCTGACTAAAGTGGATATAGTGTAGCACAATGTCCTGAGTAAAGTGGATATAGTGTAGGACAATGTCCTGACTAAAGTGGATATAGTGTAGGACAATGTCCTGACTAAAGTGGATATAGTGTAGCACAATGTCCTGACTAAGGTGGATATAGTGTAGGACAATGTCCTGAGTAAAGTGGATATAGTGTAGGACAATGTCCTGAGTAAAGTGGATATAGTGTAGGACAATGTCCTGAGTAAAGTGGATATAGTGTAGGACAATGTCCTGAGTAAAGTGGATATAGTGTAGGACAATGTCCTGACTAAAGTGGATATAGTGTAGCACAATGTCCTGACTAAAGTGGATATAGTGTAGGACAATGTCCTGACTAAAGTGGATATAGTGTAGCACAATGTCCTGAGTAAAGTGGATATAGTGTAGGACAATGTCCTGAGTAAAGTGGATATAGTGTAGGACAATGTCCTGACTAAAGTGGATATAGTGTAGCACAATGTCCTGACTAAAGTGGATATAGTGTAGGACAATGTCCTGACTAAAGTGGATATAGTGTAGGACAATGTCCTGAGTAAAGTGGATATAGTGTAGGACAATGTCCTGAGTAAAGTGGATAATGTCCTAGTACAAGTTTGGAAGACTATTTCCCATTGGGTTTGGCAAATTCAGATTCTGTTTTTGAAATAGCTTTCACTCAGTCTAATGTCTAGTTAACCATGTTTTTAACCACATGTCTTTAACCAGTTTATAACCATAAAATTTTAACCAGTTTTAACAATGAACCTTCTTCCATCTCTCTCCTCCATGTTCCCAGTGGTCTTCCCCTCTTTCCAGGCAGAGTCCACTTCAGCGCCATAATGGGGGGCATTCTTTTGCTCATGCGTAGGACATGGCCCAGCCATCTCCATCTCCTCGTTCTAACTTCTGAGACAATGTCGTTTAATCCTGTCCTTCGCCATATTTCCTTGTTCGGGACTTTGTCGTCCCACTTTATTCTGAGGATGCGTTGGAGGGATCTTCTTTCAAAGCCTCTGAGTCGGCTCTTTAACCTTTAACCGGTTTTAACTACTAGCCTATAACCAGTTAACATGACTTTAACCAGTTTAAACCATGACTTCAACAAGTTCTAACCACACACCTTTAACCAGTTCTAACCACACACCTTTAACCAGTTCTAACCACACACCTTTAACCAGTTTTAACCATGACTTTAACCAGTTTTAACCATGTCTTTAACCATGCCTCTAACCACGTCTTTAAATGACCCACCAGCCAACCTGAGTGCTCAGTCTGGAGGATCACGTGGGAGGCGGAGGTCTCGGAGCTCGTGGTGCTCATCAATGGCCTTGACCTTCTAGAGGACGATGTCTTCTACGTCACAGCAGGTAGGTGGGGGGGGGGGGCACGCACCAGGGTGGGGGTGGGGGGGGGCATGCACCAGGGTGGGGGTGGGCATGCACCAGGGTGGGGGTGGGGGGGGGGCATGCACCAGGGTGGGGGTGGGGGGGGGGGCATGCACCAGGGTGGGGGGGGGGGGGCATGCACCAGGGTGGGGTTGGGGGGGGCATGCACCAGGGTGGGGGTGGAGGGGGGCATGCACCAGGGTGGGGGTGGGGGGGGCATGCACCAGGGTGGGGTGGGGGGGCATGCACCAGGGTGGGGGCCCAATCTACATCACAGCAGGTAGGTTACTCACAGTCAGTTTGGTAAGCGGGAGGGGGGGGGGGGCGGGTCTGTCTCTGAGAATTGTGTTGTGAACCAATGGTTCCAAGATCAAATCCTTCTCAAACTTGATCATAGTTTGGTTGAAATAAATTGTTATACATTTGAAGCCTGATGTTACGCTATGATTTCAATGAGCTTTTCCCAACCAATTGTGTTTGATTTAATTCTAGAGCGACCAAGCTTGATGTTACGCTATGATTTCAATGAGCTTTTCCCAACCAATTGTGTTTGATTTAATTCTAGAGCGACCAAGCTTGATGTTACGCTATGATTTCAATGAGCTTTTCCCAACCAATTGTGTTTGATTTAATTCTAGAGCGACCAAGCTTGATGTTACGCTATGATTTCAATGAGACTTACAACCACGACCCTTTTCCTAAGGAGGTCAGGTGCAAGTCTGACCTATATTTAGTTTGGCTGAGACACCTGGGACCTGGTGTCAATGCCAGGAAACAGAGACTGGCATTCTCTTACATTGTGATCATTGGTAAGTCTTGTGTTCTCTTACATTGTGATCATTGGTAGGTCTTGTGTTCTCTTACATTGTGATCATTGGTAAGTCTTGTCTTCTCTTACATTGTAATCATTGGTAAGTCTTGTGTTCTCTTACATTGTGATCATTGGTAAGTCTTGTGTTCTCTTACATTGTTATCATTGGTAGGTCTTGTGTTCTCTTACATTGTGATCATTGGTAAGTCTTGTCTTCTCTTACATTGTAATCATTGGTAAGTCTTGTGTTCTCTTACATTGTGATCATTGGTAAGTCTTGTGTTCTCTTACATTGTTATCATTGGTAAGTCTTGTGTTCTCTTACATTGTAATCATTGGTAAGTCTTGTGTTCTCTTACATTGTGATCATTGGTAAGTCTTGTGTTCTCTTACATTGTGATCATTGGTAAGTCTTGTCTTCTCTTACATTGTAATCATTGGTAAGTCTTGTGTTCTCTTACATTGTGATCATTGGTAAGTCTTGTGTTCTCTTACATTGTTATCATTGGTAAGTCTTGTGTTCTCTTACATTGTAATCATTGGTAAGTCTTGTGTTCTCTTACATTGTGATCATTGGTAAGTCTTGTGTTCTCTTACATTGTGATCATTGGTAAGTCTTGTGTTCTCTTACATTGTTATCATTGGTAAGTCTTGTGTTCTCTTACATTGTTATCATTGGTAAGTCTTGTGTTCTCTTACATTGTGATCATTTGTAAGTCTTGTGTTCTCTTACATTGTGATCATTGGTAAGTCTTGTGTTCTCTTACAGTGTGATCATTGGTAAGTCTTGTGTTCTCTTACAGTGTGATCATTGGTAAGTCTTGTGTTCTCTTACATTGTGATCATTGGTAAGTCTTGTGTTCTCTTACATTGTTATCATTGGTAAGTCTTGTGTTCTCTTACATTGTGATCATTGGTAAGTCTTGTGTTCTCTTACATTGTGATCATTGGTAAGTCTTGTGTTCTCTTACATTGTTATCATTGGTAAGTCTTGTGTTCTCTTACATTGTAATCATTTGTAAGTCTTGTGTTCTCTTACATTGTGATCATTGGTAAGTCTTGTGTTCTCTTACATTGTGATCATTGGTAAGTCTTGTGTTCTCTTACATTGTGATCATTGGTAAGTCTTGTGTTCTCTTACACTGTGATCATTGGTAAGTCTTGTGTTCTCTTACATTGTGATCATTGGTAAGTCTTGTATTCTCTTACATTGTTATTATTGGTAAGTCTTGTGTTCTCTTACATTGTTATCATTGGTAAGTCTTGTGTTCTCTTACATTGTAATCATTTGTAAGTCTTGTGTTCTCTTACATTGTGATCATTGGTAAGTCTTGTGTTCTCTTACATTGTGATCATTGGTAAGTCTTGTGTTCTCTTACATTGTGATCATTGGTAAGTCTTGTGTTCTCTTACACTGTGATCATTGGTAAGTCTTGTGTTCTCTTACATTGTGATCATTGGTAAGTCTTGTATTCTCTTACATTGTTATTATTGGTAAGTCTTGTGTTCTCTTACATTGTGATCATTGGTAAGTCTTGTGTTCTCTTACATTGTGATCATTGGTAAGTCTTGTGTTCTCTTACATTGTGATCATTGGTAAGTCTTGTGTTCTCTTACATTGTTATCATTGGTAAGTCTTGTGTTCTCTTACATTGTGATCATTGGTAAGTCTTGTCTTCTCTTACATTGTGATCATTGGTAAGTCTTGTGTTCTCTTACATTGTGATCATTGGTAAGTCTTGTGTTCTCTTACATTGTTATCATTGGTAAGTCTTGTGTTCTCTTACATTGTAATCATTGGTAAGTCTTGTGTTCTCTTACATTGTGATCATTGAAATGATGAGAGTGAGACCATGAGACCATGAAAGTGAGACCATGAGAGTGAGACCATGAGAGTGAGACCATGAGAGTGAGACCATGAGACCATGAGAGTGAGACCATGAGAGTGAGACCATTAAAGTGAGACCATGAGACCATGAGAGTGAGACCATGAGAGTGAGACCATGAGACCATGAGAGTGAGACCATGAGAGTGAGACCATGAGACCATGAGAGTGAGACCATGAGACCATGAGAGTGAGACCATGAGAGTGAGACCATGAGAGTGAGACCATGAGAGTGAGACCATGAGACCATGAGAGTGAGACCATGAGAGTGAGACCATGAGACCATGAGAGTGAGACCATGAGAGTGAGACCATGAGACCATGAGAGTGAGACCATGAGACTTTGAAAGTGAACTTGTTACTGCAGATGGCGCCAGCTCCACTGAAGAGAAAGAGCGCGTCATCCTGATGGGGGCCATCGTCATCTCGTTCTTCACCGTGGTGGCCACACTACTCAGTATCAGCAGGTCCACCAACTGCAGGTGTTGGAGGTAAAAAAAATTTATCTGTCAATTTTTTTTGTCCCTGTCACTAACTGCAGGTGTTGGAGGTAAAAAAATGTTATCTGTCAAATTTTTTGTCCCTGTTATACACTGAACCTATTCTCCATACACATAGTATCATTCTCTTGTTTATTTTCATACATAAACTTCTTTATGTTTATTATTAAATGTCCAATTTATTTTATACAATAAAATATAGTACCATTGTATAATATATAATATATTTATGATTCATTTTCAATATACTATCAGTCCACAGATATACTTTTTATTTGTTAAAATGTTATAATTTACAATTTAAATAAAAGTAGCTTTAGTTTATCAACTAAATTTATTTTTATATTTTCCCAACCTACTTCTGCAGCCAAATTTGCGGCTATTTTAGGAGCATCAAAAACAGCCCCACAGCTCCCTCTGGTGTTGGCAACAGGACGGATTTGTCCAGGCGTCCTGAGGAGACCATCCTACTGATGGAGCTACATCATCCACACAGAAATGCTCCACCAGAGTACATCGCCCTGACTCCACCAGGTGGCAGTGGTGGAGCATCCACTAATCAGCAGCAGTCAAGTGGGACCAGCATGGGGGATAACTCTAATGTACAGCTAGTCTCCAGACAGGGAGCTAACTCTAGTCCACAACTTTTACTCCCAGCTTCACCTGTACCGACAGACAGTGCTGTCCAAGCAGACAGTTCAGACAGCAGGACTAACATAGACCTGGTCCAGCAAACAGAGAGACACACCACTGACCAAAGCAGACATGTCCAGTCATTGTCTGACCTGTTGGGGATCCTACCCCCCTTGTCTGCGTCAACAACGCCAACAACTTTAATCACCAGACAACCACCCAACACCGTGTCACCATTTGCTCTCGTCTCGTCGCTCTTCCCTTCCCGTCAGCACCCAACGCTGGTGGCGTCCCCCATGAACCTGGTCCAGCCCCACCTGAGACCCTCCCCACACAGTCCCAGCGAGATTCAGGTGAACATTGGCGGACATCAGGTGTTTAGACTGACCACAGGTCAGCAGCCGGCTGAGGGTGAGCTACCCCCACCTGCGTACAGCGAGATGCCCCCTCCAGCGTACTCACACCTGTTTCCTGCCAGACAGACATAGAGGTCATGGCCATCAAGGTGACCAGGGATGTCAAGGTCATGACAAAGTGACCAGTGGTTGTCAAGGTCATGACAAAGTGACCAGTGGTTGTCAAGGTCATGACAAAGTGACCAGTGGTTGTCAAGGTCATGACAAAGTGACCAGTGGTTGCTCTGCAGACCACCACGCAAGAATTTTCACCATCGATCAAATGCTCAAACAAGTCTCCTTGTATTCATCAGTCCTTCTCTATCTGTAAGTACAACTTATTGTAGTCTACTCGTTAAAAGCATATTTGATAACAATAATTTAATATTTTGAATTAAAATCATGTAAAGCTTTAAAAATGTTAAATAATTTTTCACGAGCTTTTTAGGTGATGAAGTTTCACTACCAATTCACCTTTTATAGTTGTGTATGTTTTTAGTTACATTTATATTTTTAATCACCTTGATGTATTTTAAAATGTTTTAAAATGTTTTAAAATGTTTTAAAGTATCTTATTGCATTTTTAGCCATTTATATAATGATACATATTTATTCAAGGTACATATAAATACAGTACAATTTAATTATTTCATGGCTTGTAGTTTTTATTTCTACCATTTGTTAATAGACTTTATGTCCATATTTAAATTTGGCCAAGAATTGTAAATTTTCCTGGCCACTCAGTGACTTCCATATTGTTGCTAACAGCATCACCAGGATGGTACTCTAAAAATAGATTCTATGACTAATAAAAGAATGAAGTAACTGGAGGTAGGGTAGCCTCCTGTCAACTGAAATTATTCTATCACACACAAACTCTCCAACTCAACTTTTTCTATTGTCAAACAAGAAAACACAATGCATATTCTATAAATAGTTTATATTTGTAAGCATTTAAAAAATACTTCAGCAGTAAAAAAAAAATGAGTATGAATAAATAATAAATATACAAGTTGACATCAAATATTGTTTTGGTATAAATAAACAACTAATTAAGTTCATTAAGCCCTGAAGTTTATTTGTACTCAACACTCAATTCAAACAGACATACTTTGGTGCAGCAAACATCAGAAATATTTGAATCACCATCTACTTAGCAAACATCAGAATGTTCATCTCTGTTATGTTTAACTTGACAACGCTATTTAATAAAATTTAAAAATTAATTTACAAACAGAGTTTTTTACGTAAAACATTTTATCAGTTCAGTAGTAAAAAAAAATTTGTATCGAATCCTGTGCCATGTCTACATACCGTTGGTATTATTATATGGATCTGCACCAAACTGTATCAAGAACTTGTTTGTATAAAACAAATTCTGGATTAATTAAGATATCTAAATTAACCAAGCCAATTGGAAATAAAGGAGCAGATGGTGAGTGCACAATAAGCAGGTTGATTCACCCTGTAGCAGGTGTAAATAGTCTTAGAGTGAAGGAACAGGTGGAAAATAATTGACTTGTACAGGTCAATATTTCATGAACATGTACAGGTAAATGTTTCATGTACATGTACAGGTCAATGTTTCATGAACATGTACAGGTAAATGTTTCATGTACATGTACAGGTCAATGTTTCATGTACATGTACAGGTAAATGTTTCATGTACTTGTTCAGGTAAATGTTTCATGAACATGTACATGTAAAGGTAAATATTTCATGTACATGTACAGCTTTTCTTGAGAAAATTTGTAAGTACAGACATCTACAATTACAATTATTTTAATTAACAATTTTAATTAACAATTTTGTATAACCAACTTTGTTGCAACATTTAGCACCAATAGATATTTGTGACCAATTTTTTTTTTAAATGACTTTAACAAATGTTGTAACACATGAGTTGAGTGATTCAATCAATGTTGAACGTGAAGGCACTGGTCTTCCCCCCCCCCCCCACCTCGTCACCTGACACAGGCCACTACATAAGTTGACAAGTCACAAATTTGACATGATGAGAAATTGAAATGTATCATTTACAGTTTTCACACTGTTCAAAACATTAAGTACTCAAGCAAGTTGGCTGTGAATATACAGGCAAACCTTTACTCCAGCCTCAGCAGTTTAAAAAAATATCTTGCAATCACAACCAGTCAAAAATATCTTACAATCACAACCAAGAAAAAAATGTCTGAAACTGGCTAGTTGGCTTGGTTATAAGTCCTGGGATATTTATAGAGCTAGGAGAGATATAGCTTGTTTACAAACTTCATTTTGTTTATTTATTTTTAAACAAAATGGAAAAAACTATTTAAATAATTCAAAATGTAGCTTTTCACTTTCTTTTTTACAACATCCATGTTTTAAAATGTCTTACAATTGAACCTATATGGAAATAACAATTTAAAAAAACAATTTAAAAAAAAAATTTGATTCATGCTTTTGTTTTCATAGGACATGAAAGAGACATTAATAAAGGGGCTATAACTCAGCCATATAAATATTGTATATATTTTACAAAATCTGTATAAAAGTATTTTTAATAATTGATATGTAATTCAACCAAATAATCAAAGTTAAGGGAGTCAGATATGATGGTTGGTGGACATGAGATTTGATTAATGAGCATTAGATTAGACAAGGGCTCGTCTAAAATGATAGTAATGTTAATTTACATTAGAGCCATAGCTTTTTAAGTCGGGTGGGGGGGGGGGGGGGGGTGCGCAGATACTATGTGATGGTTTTTGGGTGTCAAGGGTCTTACTTTTCCTGACTTTTCCTTACATTTTGTTAAATTTGGTGATAGAAGTTTGGGGTATAAAACTGGCTAACAATGTAAGATGTCATTTATGGATGACCCCTAAATGATAGGTCACACAGGTCACATAAGTCACAATGTAAGATGTCGGATGACCCCCTAACTGATAGGTTTTGTTTAGTGATACTCTGTTTATCACTTTGTTTAGTGATACAATGTTTATCACTTATCACTGGTGTGATGGCTACCAACAACATGCTGGCAACAAATCTTCAGACAGGAATGGTACAGCTTCATCGACATCAGCAGCTTCATCGACATCAGCAGCTTCATCGACATCAGCTTACAACATGACAAGGCACGACATCTCATTGAATGTCATGCCATATCTACATTCTGTTACCATTTATTATCTAGAAATTACCAAGTTCAGAATAAATACAATTATATAAATAAGTTTTAATAAATTGTAAAAAAAACTTTCCTTTAAAATATGATACATTGTGTTGTTTACAAAAATTATTTTTTACATTTTGGAATGTTTTAACTGACTTCCACTGTGGGGTCAGTATTTGATTTTAAATTATGATATCAAGACAATTTGTTAAAAACACAAAAAAGGCACATCATTTAGAGTTTAAGAAATAACTAGAGAACCACAGTCAAATTGACTGTTAAAAAAAGATAAAAATGTAAAATATTTAGTGAGATAAATGTAAATAGTTTTACAACCAAGCGGAGTAACAAAAAATGTTTAGGTAGAAATAAATTAAATAACAACCAAGGGAAGTAAAAAAATGTAAATAAAAATGTGTACATAAACATTTGAGTCACAACCAGTTAGCTAATATAGAAAATAACATCTTGATATATACACAACCTTTGACCTTAAAAAAAATTACATTCAGATCACCTTTGACCTTTAAGTATTACATTAATTAAAAGGGTTAGCATGTACAACAGTATCTTGGGTTAGAGAAATGAAAGACGTCTGATTTGAAGAGGCTTACAGGTTCAGTTTAAATATTCTAGGTACCAACACATGAGGCATATCAATATTTACAGTACACAGGTCACACAGGTCACATAAGTCACAAAGTCACATAAGTCACATAGGTCACACAGTCACATAGGTCACATAAGTCACACAAGTCACACAGGTCACATAAGTCACACAAGTCACAGTCACATAGGTCATGTGAACACAGAGGGATCTGCTTTGCTCAGAGTTAGTGATTGATCACATTTGGCATGGACGGAATTTAAAACAAATGTGAACACACCTTAGAATTTAAAACAAATGTGAACACACCTTAGAATTTAAAACAAATGTGAACACACCTTAGAATTTAAAACAAATGTGAACACACCTTTTTAGATATGGAAGTCTGATATTTAAAACCAGAGGCAGATGGAGAATGATGAACTAGGTCATAATTAGGTTCATTAAGCTAATTGGGTAACTAGTGAGAAGTTCAAGAGATTTGGATCTTATTGTGTCATAGACGGACCCAATTAGATCACCAATTGTTAAAGCTAATTGGTCAAGGACTGTTGGAACTAATTAGATCACTAATTGTTAAAGCCAATTGGGCAATAGACTGTTGAATCAATTATATCACCAATTGTTGAAGCTACTGGTGTCACAAAAGTTCCAGAGAGTTCTGTATCTCCTGTATCCAGTCCACAGCTGTAGAGACCCTGGCGAACCTGTTGGCAGGGAGGTTGGTCCGGAGCCTGCCACACTCCGTGCTGGACTGGCTCATGATGCCGGCCAGGACGTAGACGCCAGACGTGGGGTCCAGACACATCAGGGGGCCGCCACTGTCACCCTGGACAAATCAAAACATTGAGAATAGTCTAGGTCTAATCAACCTAATATGTAAATTTAAATCATCTTTCAGTATAAAAGCTTGTCTGTAAAAATGTATGAATTGATAAAGATCATTAAAAGGTGTTTTTTTTATTTTAACATAAACACATTTTAAAAACCTATATTATATTTTTTTATTTTTTTTTTTAATATATATTTTAAAAATTAAATATTTTTATAGAAACTTTTCAAATTTTTCGATCCTAGTTTTTAAATTTTCAATCCTAGTTTTTTAAATTTTCAATCCTAGTTTTTAAATTTTCAATCCTAGTTTTTTAAATTTTCAATCCTACTTTTTAAATTTTCAATCCTACTTTTTAAATTTTCAATCCTACTTTTTAAATTTTCAATCCTAGTTTTTACATTTTTTAAGTCCCAAAATTTAAAAAAGGTGGAAGTTTACCTGGCAACCGGTTGGACGGCCCATAATGTAACCGGTGCAGATGGTTGAGTTTGTGTCGACCACTGCCTCCCCAGCGACCACGTTCCTCCTGCACCGCTCCTCAGTCCACACCATCATCCTGGCATCTCGCAGGCGGCTCGGCTTCATGTCTGGCAGACAGTGGTCACAACATTTATTTTAGCAACAGGGGCAGATACAGGCTTAAAGACAAAATAACTCTACCATCCTCCCCCCCCCACAACCCAACCCAATTTAAAAGTGAGTATTATTGTCCCTCCCTCCCTGATTTCTGTCACATCCCTAAATTCTCAAACCCTAATACCCATCATAGATTCATATTCCCCCTACCCCTATCCCCTGCCACCTACCCCCCACCCCCTCCCAAAACTCACATTGCCTACTGTTGAGCAGCCCCCCCTCACACCCAGCCACCCCCCCACCACCCAGATTGCTTACTGTTGAGCAGCCCCCACCCCCCCCCACCCTGCCCCCCCCCCCACCACTCACATTGCCTACTGTTGAGCATCCCCCCTCCCACCCCCGCCCCCTCCTCCCACCCCTGCCCCCCCCCATCACTCACATTGCCTACTGTTCAGCAGCCCCCAACCCCCCCCTGCCCCCCATCACTCACATTGCCTACTGTTCAGCAGCCCCCAACCCCCTCCCCCCTGCCCCCCCCCCATCACTAACATTGTCTACTGTTCAGCAGCACCCAACCCCCCCCCTGCCCCCCCCCATCACTCACATTGCCTACTGTTCAGCAGCCCCCAACCCCCTCCCCCCTGCCCCCCCCCCATCACTAACATTGTCTACTGTTCAGCAGCACCCAACCCCCCCCTGCCCCCCCCCCATCACTAACATTGTCTACTGTTCAGCAGCCCCCAACCCCCCCCCTGCCCCCCCCCCCCATCACTCACATTGTCTACTGTTCAGCAGCCCCCAACCCCCCCCCCTGCCCCCCCCCCCCCCCCCCATCACTCACATTGTCTACTGTTCAGCAGCCCCCAACCCCCCCCCCCCTGCCCCCCCCCCCCCATCACTCACATTGCCTACTATTGAGCAGCCCGCACCCCCCCCCCCACCACTCACATTGCCTACTATTGAGCAGCCCGCACCCCCCCCCACCACTCACATTGCCTACTGTTGAGCAGCCCCCAGCCCGCCAGATAGCACTGGGAGCTGGGTAGAAACACAGCTCCCGGAGCTGGGAGACACAGTGGCTGGACCACATCAGAGAAGACCAGCTCCTGCTCAAGCTGCAGCAGGGCCAGGTCCCAGGCCACGCCCCCGTTCTCCTGGACGGCCGTCATGTTGTGGTAGTCAATCTTGGCCACCCGCACCATCTGCTGACCGCCTGTTGGTGTGGCCTGGTCGAGGAGGTAGCTGGTAGCACCTGCCACCACAGTGAAATAAAATGGTGTCTGTCGCAGGTCATGTCTCCCTACCAGTGGGACTGGGCTGAAACATAAGTTTTCTGTCAACTACATTGGTACATGGATCTACAAAATTTAGCAATCAAAATTATTCGTAAAATTTATTGGTAAAATTTATCTTTAAGATGTCTCCAAAATTTAGCCATACAATTTTTTTGTAAAGTCTAATCAATACAATCTATAATTAAATATCAGTAAAAATCATTTGTAAAATCCTTCAGTGAAATATATTAGTAAAATATATATCTCTATAGACCCTACTTAAACATTTTTTAAATTAATTTTGTGTATCTTTAGGACTATAAATAGGACCAGATCCCTGCGCCATAAGCAACCACTTACAAAATGATGCAATGAGCAAGTGTAAGGACCACACAACCACTTACAAAATGATGCAATGAGCAAGTGTAAGGACCACACAACCACTTACAAAATGATGCAATGAGCAAGTGTAAGGACCACACAACCACTTACAAAATGATGCAATGAGCAAGTGTAAGGACCACACAACCACTTACAAAATGATGCAATGAGCAAGTGTAAGGACCACACAACCACTTACAAAATGATGCAATGGGCGGCTGTAAGGACCACACAACCACTTACAAAATGATGCAATGGACCACACAAACACTTACAAAATGATGCAATGAGCAAGTGTAAGGACCACACAAACACTTACAAAATGATGCAATGAGCGGCTGTAAGGACCAGACGACTGCTGATCAGGACACCCCCACAAATTGGCTTGTCCAGAAAGGCAAGGGATACAACCCACGGCCACTTCCCAAGAGGAGTTATTCCCCCTCCTGCCACAGAAGATTCCAGAATTGGAGTTTTTCTTTCCCCGCATTCACCTGAAAAAATGTGATCAAAAAGTCTTTTTGCTACTGCAGCAACTAACGTCACATCGTAGGACTACATAACATATTCACATTTTTACATAATAACATTTTTATATATTCACATTTTTACATATTCATATTTTTTTTATTCACATTTTTACGTATTCATATTTTTATATATTCACACTTTAACATATTCATATTTTTTTAGGCAGAGGTGAAAATTGCTTGGCTAATGTGAAACAGTGTCTAATTATTAAATAAGCAAAATGTGAAACACAAAGGGGAAAAGATGTGAAACAAACAGTAAAAATGTGAAATAAAATATGGAAAAGAAGTGATACTATTCAATATGTAAACACACTCTTTATAAAATCTCACTTGATTACAAATAGGTAACAATTTGATCCAATTAACACACCTGTTATATGACCTAATTAGCACACTGTGTCACTGACCTTTGGGTACACACTGTATGTGTACGACCTGCCCTGAAGCACACAGGTCACTGTTTGCACAGTTTATGACAGGCGCAGGTTGACAGGCAGGCGCAGGCAGAAAAGAAGTGGCAGTGAGGTGGGTGGTATGAAAGATGCAAAGAAAAAATAAATAAGGTGCAATGGTGCCTTTATTCAGGTGTGTTGAAGCAAAATTAAATTAAATTTAAAAAAAAAACTAACATTGGTATTATATGTTTCTTAGGAATCTTTTTTTTTTTTTTTTTTTTTCTTTTAAATGACAAATGTTAAGATTTTATTTGAAGTATCAGGAACAAAAATTTCAAAGAAAATATATGAAGGCCAATACAAACACATATAACATTTAAAATTCAAAACAAAAAAATGAACTAAAATGTCAAAGTCTAATAACTGTCAACAGATTACCAGATGATGATATCCAAAAGGAAGGGGGGGGGGGGGTAGGAAAAAATTATAAAAAAGCATTTTGAAGTTTAAAAAGAAAAATTGTAATAAAAAAAATATTTCATGCAGATTGACCAATTAAATAAAATTGGACAATGGCCCCAGTGAAAACAGAAATATAAAGCTATACAAATGTGTTTGGTGATGTAATACAAACATGTTTGGTGATGTAATACAAACGTGTTTGGTGATGTTATACACACAGATTTGTTGCGGGAAGATGATGCAGCAAGCAGAGTTTTAAATAAATTAGAGATGGATATAAAGAAATGCCTGATCTACCAATCAACACACATGTTAATTAAATTAATTACTGGATAAAAGCTAATTAAAATGTATAAACCAGTACACAAGTAACATATGAACATTAAGGGTTCTTCTATGTCAGTGGGATTGGACTTTGTAACTGCCAGTGAAACCTTCTAACATATTTTCCTAAAGCAGGAGTTGAGGATGAAATTCTCCTTAAAATTTAATTAGCATAATTTGTCCAAAAGAAATTATTAGTTTTTGCTGTGAAATATTTTTTAATGTATGCTAACAATTAATTTAACTATACAAACCACTATCCTAAAGGTGCCTTATAAATATGCCAGTAAAATAAAAGGTGGATTGAATTCAATGCTGTAACTCTCTGAAACAAGTCAACAAGAGAACTGGGACCAACCTGAGCATAAAGTTTGATACCAGTGGCTTCCCTGAGTTCCATTCCCCAGGTTTCAGCGTGGCGTACCTGCTCTGGTCTGGTTGGGTGGGGTCTGACGGCCACGCCTTCAAATACCTTTGGGATAGACAAAAGGGAATATGGCTTTTTTATCTTTCATAATTTTTAAACACATTTTTTAATGCAAAATGGTGACCCACCCAAGATGGTGACCCACCCAAGATGGTGACCCACCCAAGATGGTGACCAACCCAGATGGTGACCCACGACCCACCCAGACGGTGACCCACCCAAGATGGTGACCCACCCAAGATGGTGACCCACCCAAGATGGTGACCAACCCAGATGGTGACCCACCCAGATAGTGACCCACCCAAGATGGTGACCAACCCAGATGGTGACCCACCCAGATGGTGACCCACCCAGTTGGTGACCAACCCCAGATGGTGAGACCCACCCAAGATGGTGACCCACCCAAGATGGTGACCAACCTAGATGGTGACCAACCCAGATGGTGAGGCCCACCCAGATGGTGACCCACCCAGATGGTGACCCACCCAAGATGGTGACCAACCCAGATGGTGACCCACCCAAGACGGTGACCCACCCAGATGGTGACCCACCCAGGATGGTGACCCACCCAGATGGTGAGACCAACCCTAGACGGTGACCCACCCAGATGGTGACCCACCCAGGATGGTGACCCACCCAGGATGGTGACCCAAAAAGGCACTGACCTCTTATTGAGGCTGGAGCAGACGTGAGCGCCATGAATGTCCAGCCAGTTGTCCCAACACACTGACCACCTGACGTCACTGATTGTTACCTCGAGCTCAGCAGACGGCAGGACTTGAGCTAAAACAAGTTTTAAAAACTGATGTGGTTACCCTAACACAAGATCAATGTCAAAAGTTTAAAAACTGATGTGGTTACCCTAAATCAAGATCAATATCAAAAATTTTTAAATGGATTGAAGCACAGAAAAAAAAATTAAACAAATGTAATTTTTTTACCATTGCAGAGAAGACAATGGAGGAGGGGGGGGGGGTGTGTAATCCAAATTTCTTACCACAGTCATCTTCGTCTCCTCCATTCTTCTTGCAGTCCACGTTACCATCACAGTGTTGAGACGTGTTGACACATGTGTAGTCAACACACTGGAACATCTCACCCCTACACCTAGCTAGTACACACACATGTCATGGGTTTAACATTAGTAAAATTTAAGTGTACACACACATCATGGGTTTAACATTTGTACATTCTAACTGTGAACATACATCATGGGTTAAACATGTGTACAATCTAAGCGTATACACACATCATGCGTGAAACATGTCTACAATCTGTTTGAATTTGTGGATTTTAGTTGTTAGCAAATTGAAAATATTCCAAACTGACCACAGTCCATCTCATCCCTGCCATTTCTGCAATCCTTGACACCATCGCAGACTTGAGTTCTTTGGATACACTGACCCGAGGGGGGAGAGCAGGAGTACAGGTTGTTTCCCCTGCAATCTAGAACAAGATGGCTGCAGTTAGTCATCATGACAAAACATGGCTGCTAATTTGTTTATCCTCAAAATTAAAACTATTGGCCTCAAAGAAATGTATTTATAAAAAGTCTACCTCAGACACAAAAAATAAAAACAGATCTTCATTGTTTACTTTCAGGAAATACTGAGGCTAGAAAAATCTGCTAAATGTTTTCAACAGTTTTAACAGTACAAAATTTTAAAATATCGACTGATGAACTGACCACAGTTTCAGCAGTACAAACATTTTGAACTATTGGCTGACAACAGTTTCAGCAGTAGGCCTACAAAATTTTAACTATTGGCTGACCAACTGACAACAGTTTCAGCAGTACAAACAATTTGAACTATTGGTTGACCAACTGACAAGAGTTTCAGCAGTACAAACAATTTGAACTATTGGCTGACCAACTGACCAACTGACCAACTGACCAACTGACCAACTGACCACATTTTTCCTCGTCCGAGTTGTCCCCACAGTCATCCAGGCCATCACACCACAAGCTGGGGATGACCTTGACCCCATTCCTGCACTCTCTGCTGGAGGAGCCTCGCGCTGAAAGGTTTAACAGTAGGACATTAAAAGGTTTAGCAGTTGGACATCAAAAGTTAAATTATTGTAGTTAACCTTGTCATGATTGAAATTACTTAAGTTAACCTTGTTACAGTTAAACTTACTACAATAAACCTTGTTACAGTTGAACTTACTACAGTTAACCTTGTCAATGTTAAACTTACTACAGTTAACCTTGCTAGAGTTAAACTTACTACAGTTAACCTTGTCACAGTTAAACTTACTACAGTTAACCTCGTCAATGTTAAACTTACTACAGTTAACCTTGTCAATGTTAAACTTACTACAGTTAACCTCGTCACTGAGATCATCACAGTTAAACATGTCGTTACAGTTAAACTTACTACAGTTAACCTCGTCACAGTTAAACTTACTACAGTTAAACATGTCGTTACAGTTAAACTTACTACAGTTAACCTTGTCAATGTTAAACTTACTACAGTTAACCTCGTCACTAAGATCATCACAGTTAAACTTACTACAGTTAACCTCATCACTAAGATCATCACAGTTAAACATGTCGTTACAGCGCAGCTGGTTGTTGTCCCACAGACACAGTTTGTTGGATACACAGCTGAAGCCATCACAGTCTGGGGAAATATGGATGCTGGATGATGGATGGTGGATGATGGATGGCGGATGGTGGATGGGGGATGGTGGATGGGGGATGGTAGATGGGGGATGATGGATGGTGGATTATGGATGGTGGATGATGGATGGTGGATGATGGATGGTGGATGGTGGATGGGGGATGGGGGATGGTGGATGGGGGATGGTGGATGATGGATGGTGGATGGTGGATGACAAGTGCAGGAAGTTAAATGCTGGATATAAGATGATGGATGTTGGATATCAGATGAAGGATGTTGGATATTCAATAATGGATCTCAGATGATGGATGTGGAATTATGGATATGTTGGTATTATGATGGATGAGTTAGTAGGTTGAATATGTGTGTGAGCCAAAGTATATGTAACATATGTCTGTTATATGTGTAATGTATGTGTGCTGTATGTGTAATGCATGTGTGCTGTATGAGTGCTGTATGTGTAATGGATGTGTGCTGAATATGTGCTGTATGTGTATTGTATGTGTGCTGGATGAGTGCTGGATTAGCGCTGTATATGTGCTGTATTTGTGCTGTATATGTTCTGTATGAGTGCTGTTCTGTGTGTTTGTGTTTCAATGAGCCTTACTTGGACAATTCATCTCATCCCCGCTGTCAATACAGTCATAGTCTCCATCACAGACCTTATGTTGGGGTATACACTGACCGTTAGGACATTTGAACTGACCAATCGCACAGGCTGTAACAAGATATGGGAGATTTAAACTGACCAATCGTACAGGCTGTAACAAGATATGGGAGATTTAAACTGACCAATCGTACAGGCTGTAACAAGATATGGGAGATTTAAACTGACCAATCATACAGGCTGTAACAAAATATGGGAGATTTGAACTGACCAATCATACAGGCTGTAACAAAATATGGGAGATTTGAACTGACCAATCATACAGGCTGTAACAAAATATGGGAGATTGGACATTTGAACTGACCAATCGTACAGGCTGTAACAAGATATGGGACATTTGAACTGACCAATCATACAGGCTGTAACAAGATATGGGACATTTGAACTGACCAATCATACAGGCTGTAACAAAATATGGGAGGTTGGACATTTAAACTGACCAGTCGCACAGGCTGTAACAAGATATGGGAGATAAACATTTGGAGAATAAAAACATAACACAAATTAGAAACATCATGAAGACATTTCAATATTGATGTGGTTACCGGAATAGAAACTATTGAAGTCAGCCAAGACGCATTCCAGATGCAGTTATACAAAAATTATTTTAGGCCGCTAGCCAAGAAATTTGTTGTGAAATTGCTCTTTGATTTGTTTGCTTGAGATTTTTTTTTCTTACCAGAAAAATTTGTTTAACTTCATTTTCTGTAAGATACAGCAATATTCACACAACTAAAACTCACACAATTCACTCACAATTCACACAACTAAAATACACACAATTCACACACACACATAATTCACACAACTAAAACTCACACAATTCACTCACACACACTCACACAATTCACACAACAAAAACTCACCAAAATTCACACAACAAAAACTCAACAAAATTCACACACACACACACACACACACACAAAATTCACACAATTCACCTATCTAAAACTCACCACAATTCACACAACTAAAACTCACATAATTCACACAACTAAAACTCACCAAAATTCACACAACAAAAACTCACCAAAATTCACACAACAAAAACTCACCAAAATTCACACACAAACACACACAATTCACACAATTCACACAACCAAAACTCACCACAATTCACACAACTAAAACTCACCACAATTCACACAACTAACACTCACACAATTCACACAACTAAAACTCACCACAATTCACACACAAACACACACAATTCACACAATTCACACAATTCACACAACCAAAACTCACCACAATTCACACAACTAAAACTCACCACAATTCACACAACTAAAACTCACCACAATTCACACAACTAAAACTCACCACAATTCACACACAAACACACACAATTCACACAATTCACACAACCAAAACTCACCACAATCCACACAACCAAAACTCACCACAATTCACACAACTAACACTCACACAATTCACACAACTAAAACTCACCAAAATTCACACACAAACACACACAATTCACACAATTCACACAACCAAAACTCACCACAATTCACACAACTAAAACTCACCACAATTCACACAACTAACACTCACACAATTCACACAACTAAAACTCACCACAATTCACACACAAACACACACAATTCACACAATTCACACAATTCACACAACCAAAACTCACCACAATTCACACAACTAAAACTCACCACAATTCACACAACTAAAACTCACCACAATTCACACAACTAAAACTCACCACAATTCACACACAAACACACACAATTCACACAATTCACACAACCAAAACTCACCACAATCCACACAACCAAAACTCACCACAATTCACACAACTAACACTCACACAATTCACACAACTAAAACTCACCAAAATTCACACACAAACACACACAATTCACACTATTCACCTATCTAAAACTCACCACAATTCACACAACCAAAACTCACCACAATTCACACAACCAAAACTCACCACAATTCACACACTCACACAATTCACCTATCTAAAACTCACCACAATTCACTCCCTCATCGCTACCATCCCTACAGTCCGGGATACCATCACACACGACATCCTGGGGCAGACATTCCAGGTCAGCGCACATAAACTCCTGGGCTGGGCAGACTACAACAGACAAAATACAAGAAATATTGGAGTTGTTGAACCCTAATTAGATGTTGACCATTAGTGCAGTTGATTAGTTTATTGTTCACTACAAGAGGGGTAAAATAATTTAAAAACTTGGCTACTTACTGTTTTTTGGTGTGGTTGTTTGAGTTGTAGTTGTAGTTGATGTTGTAGTAGCTGGTGTGGTTGTAGTTGCTGTGGTGTGGGTTGGTGTGGTTGTGTTTGGTGTGGTGATGGCTGTTGAGGAAGTTGGTGTGGTTGTGGTTGTGTTTGGTGTGGTTGCTGTTGAGGTAGTTGGTGTGATTGTTGATGCTGTCCATGTAGTTTCTGTGGTGACATCAGCTGCTGGTGTAGAGTTGGTTGATGATGTCGTGTTACCAACTTGTTGATCTACATATGTTTGACCTGATCAAATGCGATAGAAATTATCGTTATTAAGTTATATAATTATGTGTGAGGGCCAAGAGTGTGGGTGGCAACTTTGTGTGTGGGTATAACTGTGTAAATGTGTGTGGTGTGAGGGTCTGTGTGGTGTGAGGGCATGTGTGGTGTGAGGATCTGTGTGGTGTGTGTGTGGTGTGAGGGTCTGTGTGTGGTGTGAGGGTCTGTGTTTGGTGTGAGGGTTTGTGTGGTGTGAGGGTTTGTGTGGTGTGAGGGTTTGTGTGGTGTGAGGGTCTGTGTGTGGTATGAGGGTCTGTGTTTGGTGTGAGGGTCTGTGTGTGGTGTGAGGGTCTGTGTTTGGTGTGAGGGTCTGTGTTTGGTGTGAGGGTCTGTGTTTGGTGTGAGGGCATGTGTGGTGTGAGGGTCTGTGTGTGGTGTGAGGGTCTGTGTGTGGTGTGAGGGCATGTGTGGTGTGAGGGTCTGTGTATGGTGTGTGTGTGGTGTGAGGGTCTGTGTTTGGTGTGAGGGTCTGTGTGTGGTGTGAGGGCATGTGTGGTGTGAGGGTCTGTGTATGGTGTGTGTGTGGTGTGAGGGTCTGTGTTTGGTGTGAGGGTCTGTGTGTGGTGTGAGGGTCTGTGTTTGGTGTGAGGGTCTGTGTTTGGTGTGAGGGCATGTGTGTGGTGTGAGGGTCTGTGTGTGGTGTGAGGGTCTGTGTGTGGTGTGAGGGTCTGTGTTTGGTGTGAGGGCATGTGTGGTGTGAGGGTCTGTGTATGGTGTGTGTGTGGTGTGAGGGTCTGTGTTTGGTGTGAGGGTCTGTGTGTGGTGTGAGGGTCTGTGTTTGGTGTGAGGGTCTGTGTTTGGTGTGAGGGCATGTGTGGTGTGAGGGTCTGTGTTTGGTGTGAGGGTCTGTGTGTGGTGTGAGGGTCTGTGTGTGGTGTGAGGGTCTGTGTGTGGTGTGAGGGTCTGTGTTTGGTGTGAGGGCATGTGTGGTGTGAGGGTCTGTGTATGGTGTGTGTGTGGTGTGAGGGTCTGTGTTTGGTGTGAGGGTCTGTGTGTGGTATGAGGGTCTGTGTTTGGTGTGAGGGTCTGTGTGTGGTGTGAGGGTCTGTGTTTGGTGTGAGGGCATGTGTGTGGTGTGAGGGTCTGTGTGTGGTATGAGGGTCTGTGTTTGGTGTGAGGGTCTGTGTGTGGTGTGAGGGTCTGTGTTTGGTGTGAGGGTCTGTGTTTGGTGTGAGGGTCTGTGTGTGGTGTGAGGGTCTGTGTTTGGTGTGAGGGCATGTGTGGTGTGAGGGTCTGTGTATGGTGTGTGTGTGGTGTGAGGGTCTGTGTGTGGTGTGAGGGTCTGTGTGTGGTGTGAGGGTCTGTGTGTGGTGTGAGGGTCTGTGTGTGGTGTGAGGGTCTGTGTGTGGTGTGAGGGTCTGTGTGTGGTGTGAGGGTCTGTGTGTGGTGTGAGGGTCTGTGTGTGGTGTGAGGGTCTGTGTGTGGTGTGAGGGTCTGTGTGTGGTATGAGGGTCTGTGTTTGGTGTGAGGGTCTGTGTTTGGTGTGAGGGTCTGTGTGTGGTGTGAGGGTCTGTGTTTGGTGTGAGGGCATGTGTGGTGTGAGGGTCTGTGTATGGTGTGTGTGTGGTGTGAGGGTCTGTGTGTGGTGTGAGGGTCTGTGTGTGGTGTGAGGGTCTGTGTTTGGTGTGAGGGTCTGTGTTTGGTGTGAGGGCATGTGTGGTGTGAGGGTCTGTGTATGGTGTGTGTGTGGTGTGAGGGTCTGTGTGTGGTGTGAGGGTCTGTGTGTGGTGTGAGGGTCTGTGTATGGTGTGTGTGTGGTGTGAGGGTCTGTGTTTGGTGTGAGGGTCTGTGTATGGTGTGAGGGTCTGTGTGTGGTGTGAGGGTCTGTGTGTGGTGTGAGGGTCTGTGTGTGGTGTGAGGGTCTGTGTTTGGTGTGAGGGTCTGTGTATGGTGTGTGTGTGGTGTGAGGGTCTGTGTTTGGTGTGAGGGTCTGTGTATGGTGTGAGGGTCTGTGTGTGGTGTGAGGGTCTGTGTTTGGTGTGAGGGTCTGTGTGTGGTGTGAGGGTCTGTGTGTGGTGTGAGGGTCTGTGTGTGGTGTGTGTGTGGTGTGGTGTGAGGGTGTGTGTGGTGTGAGGGTCTGTGTGTGGTGTGTGTGTGGTGTGAGGGTCTGTGTGTGGTGTGTGTGTGGTATGAGGGTCTGTGTGTGGTGTGTGTGTGGTGTGAGGGTCTGTGTGTGGTGTGTGTGTGGTGTGAGGGTCTGTGTGTGGTGTGTGTGTGGTGTGGTGTGAGGGTGTGTGTGGTGTGAGGGTCTGTGTATGGTGTGTGTGTGGTGTGAGGGTCTGTGTTTGGTGTGAGGGTCTGTGTATGGTGTGAGGGTCTGTGTGTGGTGTGAGGGTCTGTGTTTGGTGTGAGGGTCTGTGTGTGGTGTGAGGGTCTGTGTGTGGTGTGAGGGTCTGTGTGTGGTGTGTGTGTGGTGTGGTGTGAGGGTGTGTGTGGTGTGAGGGTCTGTGTGTGGTGTGTGTGTGGTGTGAGGGTCTGTGTGTGGTGTGTGTGTGGTATGAGGGTCTGTGTGTGGTGTGTGTGTGGTGTGAGGGTCTGTGTGTGGTGTGAGGGTCTGTGTGTGGTGTGTGTGTGTGTGTTTGTGTGGTGTGTGAGTACACGTGACCTACCGTTGAGCACAAGGTGCAGCATGTGTGTGTGGTGTGTGAGTGTGGTGTGTGTGTGGTGTGGTGTGGTGAGCTAGTGCACGTGACCTACTGTTGAGCACAAGGTGAAGCACGACCGCCGTGCAGACGATGGCCAAGATCAAGGTCGTGACGACCAGAAAGATGACGAGGGCGGCCTTGAGCGAGATGTACGGCGAGATGACCTTGACCGTGGGGGTGAGGGTGGCCGCTGTGCCGTCTGTCCCGAGGGTCACGGGCTCTGCCGTCTCCAGGGAGGTGAAGCGGACATGGTCGGCATACTTGCGGGAGTTGTGGGGGGAGGGCATGGCGCCTCACCTGGGGAGGACAGAGGAGGTGGTGACGTCAGAGATGTGGAGGGAGGGGTGACCTTCTGGTGGATAGAGGGGTGACCTTCTAGTGGGCAGTTGACCTAGTGTGGACAGAGGGATGACCTATTCGTAGACATATAGATAACCTCCTAACTTCCGGTTTATATTTTAAGCGCTCATTACATGGCCACCCGCACATCTTAATTAATATAATTAATTAAAAACAAACGTTAATCACTTCCGTTTAATAAACATCAAAGAATGTTAGGTTTATAATAAATCTCGCGTCCAAAAACAAATGTAAACAGCAGCTGTGAGATTGATTTCCACGGACTTGAAGACCTGCCGTCAAAATCAAACTGACACTTTAACGCTTAATTGTTCTCATCAAGCTACCACGCATGCGCAAGAACTCGGCCAATAAAATCCTGAAACCTTTTGATGCAACTTTTAATTCTCGTTTATTTCACATCAAACCACCCAGCTAACGTGAGTGACATCATATCCAGATATCCACATCCAGTATCCACCTGCGTCAGTTAAGTAAATGAGTTTCTTAACCTGCATCTACCTGAGTGGGATGGCTAGTGATGGGGTGGTGTGTGGTTGTGTGTGATGGTGTGTGATGGTGTGTGGTTCTGTGTGGATGCGTGGTTGTGTGTGGTTGTGTGTGATGGTGTGTGGTGGTGTGTGGTGGTGTGTGGTGATGTGTGGTTGTGTGTTTATGTGCATGTGATTGTGATTGTGTGTATGTGATTGTGTGTGTACGTGATTGTGTCTGTACATGTGTGCCTGAATTTGTGTGCATGGGGTTGTGTGTTTGTGTGTATGTGATTATGTGTGTGTATGTGATTGTGTGTATGTGATTGTGTGTATGTGATTGTGTGTGTACGTGATTGTTTGTGTCTGTACGTGTGTGTGTGTTTGTGTGTAGGTGGTTGTGTGTGTATGTGATTGTGTGTGTACGTGTGTTTGTATGTATGTGGCCGTGAGTCGGACAATTAGTTGGCACGTGGTTACAACAGGTGTATTGAAATTTATTTCCTGTGAGTGGGTCTGTGTGGGGGTCTGTGTGGGGGTCTGGGTGGGGGTTCTGTGTGGGGGTCTGTGTGGGAGTCTGTGTGGGGTCAGGGTGGGGGTCTGTGTGGGGGTCTGGGTGGGGGTCTGGGTGGGGGTCTGAGTTGGGGTCTGGGTGGGGGTCTGGGTGGGGGATTGGGTGGGCGTCTGTGGGGAGATGGGGGACTGGGGGTGAGTGTGCGGGGGCTAGTTAGAGATGAGTAATGTGACAAGGCCATCAATCCACCATCACACTCACCCCACATCACCACACACACACACACACACACACAGCCTTGTTATCAGATCGAAGCTAGAACAAAGTGTGCTTTAAGTTTTTATAGCTGAGCTATTTAAGCGGCTCTTTGTGCCTGACTACATCCGGGCTAGCTGTCTGCGGCTCATGTTGGCTCAAGGTGGCTCATAGCTGTTAAACCTATCAGTTCTAGCAACCTGTATTTCATGATGGCTCATAGCTCTGTTAAACCTATCAGTTCTAGCTACCTGTATGTCATGATGGCTTTATTAAACCTATCAGTTCTAGCTACCTGTATTTCATGATGGCTTTATTAAACCTATCAGTTCTAACTACCTGTATATCACGATGGCTTTATTAAACCTATCAGTTCTAGCAACCTGTATGTCATGATGGCTTTATTAAACCTATCAGTTCTAGCTACCTGTATTTCATGATGGCTTTATTAAACCTATCAGTTCTAGCAACCTGTATGTCATGTTGGCTCTGTTCAACCTTTTGTGTGCGAGTGTGAAGGACATAAAGTCAAAATTTGTTTTAACAATTTTCTCAACTAAAAACTTTTGAATCAGATGGTATTAAAGATGTGCTTCTCTCAATTCGCAAATACTTTGTGAAAAAAAAACACGCCAAACATCTCGTATGGGCCTAGAGCAGGGGTTCCCAACCCCGTGCCCGCGGGCGCCATGGCGCCCGCCGAACGATTCGTATGTGCCCGCCTCTCACTATTCGACAGAGACATAATTTTTTCATAAATATTATCGAAAGGTTGAAGGGGATGGAAATCGAAAGTTTGACGGGAGGGGGGGGGGGGGGGGGTGCAAATCGAAAGTTTTGTTCCCGGGTGACGGGAAGGGTCGCTACGCCTCTGGAAGGAGTTTGTCGATTTAAAATAGGTGGTGCCCGCCACCCTACCGATATTTTAGAATGTGCTCTAGAGTAAAAAAAAAGATTGGGAACCCCTGGCCTAGAGTATCGAATCTTTTCACCTACGGCAATACCTACAAGGGTCAGAATTAGGCAGAGTTCGATTTCAGGGTTCTGGTCATAGATGGTATCGAAACTATCAAAATATCGATACGCTGTCCAGTACTCGTACCGTCTGCTCAAGACGATGAACTAAGCAGACGGTGGTCGATAATTTCAGAACATACAACAGTCATAGAATTAATTTTAATCTAAACCACAAGTCTACACACCCAACGGATACAAATTTAAGCGAGTATTCAGTATCGATACCACAAGCGTGAGGCAGACGTTCTGCTGAACACGTCATACGTGTCTATAAATAGAACAAATCTTTGAAATACTTAAATCATCTTTCTCAATTCTGTCAGGTTGGGTTTTTTTTTTTAAATTGCGTACCTTTTAGTTCCTAGAGTAAGTTAACCTTAGATTTGGAACCAGTTCTTTAACTACATTTTATCATCAGAGGTAAAGAGCTGTGTAAAAAGAGTACTGAGATTTAAAAAGATGGAAAAAAATCAATTTTAAAAAGAACTTACGATTGTCGGACCAAGTGAATAAAAAAACATGCGGGATCTGAGCGATCATTTCGACTCCACGAATTCTGGAAAGGTGAGTTTACGTGTGGGTGACTTCCCTTTATATGAAGGAGGGGAGGGGTTATCTTAGGGTGACTGGATTAATGGACGGCATTGTTTTCTACAGGGTGGAGTCATATGATGGGCGGCCATTGTAATCAGGGGGGGGCGGGGGTATATGATGGGCGGTTGTGTTTTGTGGGGGGGGGGGGGTCGTATAATAGACGGAATAAGTTAAGGAATAAGTCAGCCACACCATCATAGCTGCCCCTAAGTCAGACAAACATCGGACAAACACAAGACGAAAACAAGACAAAAACAAACACAAACCAAACACAAACACAAGACAAAAACAAACCAAAAACAAACACAATACAAACACAAACACAAGACAAACACAAACACAAACACAATACAAACACAACATAAACATTAGACAAACCCAAGACAAACCCAAGACAAACACAAGACAAACACAAGACATACACAATACACAAACACAACACAAACACAACACAAACACAACACAAACACAACACAAACACAACACAAACACAACACAAACACAACACATACACAAACACAAGACAAATACAAGAAACACACAAGAAACACACAAGACAAACACAAGACACAACACAAACACAACACAAACACAATACAAACACAACACAAACACAATACAAACACAAACCCACCTATGAAGACGACACTTGTCTCACCAGAGGACGGCCATCACACAGGGAGGTGGGGGGAGTTCTGGAAGACAAGAGGAACATTGGTTAGGTGTCATGGTGTTAGGGTGTCATGGTGTTAGGGTGTCGTGGTGGTAGGGTGTCGTGGTGTTAGGGTGTCATGGTGTTAGGGTGTCGTGGTAGTAGGGTGTCAATGTGATAGGGTGTCATGGTGTTAGGGTGTCGTGGTGGTAGGGTGGTAGGGTGTCATGGTGTTAGGGTGTCATGGTGTTAGGGTGTCGTGGTGGTAGGGTGTCATGGTGGTAGGGTGTTAGGGTGTCGTGGTGGTATGGTGTTACGTTGGTAGGGTGTTATGGTGGTAGGGTGTCATGGTGGTAGGGGTGTTATGGTGGTAGGGTGTCGTGGTGGTAGGGTGTCGTGGTGGTAGGGTGTAGTGGTGATAGGGTGTGTCATGGTGGTAGGGTGTCATGGTGGTAGGGTGTCGTGGTGGTAGGGTGTCATAGTGGTAGGGTGTCTTGGTGGTAGGGTGTCATAGTGGTAGGGTGTTACGTTGGTAGGGTGTTATGGTGGTAGGGTGTCATGGTGGTAGGGGTGTTATGGTGGTAGGGTGTCGTGGTGGTAGGGTGTCGTGGTGGTAGGGTGTCGTGGTGATAGGGTGTGTCATGGTGGTAGGGTGTCATGGTGGTAGGGTGTCGTGGTGGTAGGGTGTCATAGTGGTAGGGTGTCTTGGTGGTAGGGTGTCATAGTGGTAGGGTGTTACGTTGGTAGGGTGTTATGGTGGTAGGGTGTCATGGTGGTAGGGGTGTTATGGTGGTAGGGTGTCGTGGTGGTAGGGTGTCGTGGTGGTAGGGTGTCGTGGTGGTAGGGTGTCTAATGGTGGTAGGGTGTCGTGGTGGTAGGGTGTCTAATGGTGGTAGGGTGTCATGGTGGTGGGGTGTGTAATGGTGGTAGGGTGTCATGGTGGTAGGGTGTTATGGTGGTAGGGTGTCGTGGTGGTAGGGTGTCATGGTGGTAGGGTGTGTATTGGTGGTAGGGTGTCATAGTGGTAGGGTGTTACGTTGGTAGGGTGTTATGGTGGTAGGGTGTCTTGGTGGTAGGGTGTCATAGTGGTAGGGTGTTATGGTGGTAGGGTGTCGTGGTGGTAGGGTGTCGTGGTGGTAGGGTGTCGTGGTGGTAGGGTGTGTCATGGTGGTAGGGTGTTATGGTGGTAGGGTGTCGTGGTGGTAGGGTGTCGTGGTGGTAGGGTGTCTAATGGTGGTAGGGTGTCGTGGTGGTAGGGTGTCGTGGCGTGGCGTCTGTGTTTGTGATGATCCCTCCCCCAATGTGTGTCTGTGTGTGTGTCTGTGTGTATGTGTCTGTGTGTCTGTGTATGTGTGTCTGTGATGATCCCTCCACTAATCTGTGTCTGTGTGTGTGTCTGTGTCTGTGATGATCCCTCCACTAATGTGTGTCTGTGTGTATGTCTGTGATGATCCCTCCCCTAATGTGTCTGTGTGTGTGTCTGTGTGTGTGTCTGTGTGTGTGTCTGTGTGTGTGTCTGTGTGTGTGGCTGTGTGTGTGATGATCCCTCCCCTAATGTGTCTGTATGTGTGTGTCTGTGTGTGTGATGATCCCTCCCCTAATGTGTGTGTCTGTGTGTCTGTGTGTGTCTGTGTGTCTGTGTGTGTGATGATCCCTCCCCTAATGTGTGTGTCTGTGTGTCTGTGTGTGTGTGATGATCCCTCCCCTAATGTGTGTGTCTGTGTGTCTGTGTGTGTGTGATGATCCCTCCCCTAATGTGTGTGTCTGTGTGTCTGTGTGTCTGTGATGATCCCTCCCCTAATGTGTGTGTGTGTGATGGTCCCTCCCCTAATGTGTGTGTGTGTGATGGTCCCTCCCCTAATGTGTGTGTGTGTGATGGTCCCTCCCCTAATGTGTGTGTGTGTGATGGTCCCTCCCCTAATGTGTGTGTGTGTGATGGTCCCTCCCCTAATGTGTGTGTGTGTGATGGTCCCTCCCCTAATGTGTGTGTGTGTGATGGTCCCTCCCCTAATGTGTGTGTGTGTGTGTGTATGTGTGTGTGTGTGTGATGGTCCCTCCCCTAATGTGTGTCTGTGTGTGTGTGTGTGTGATGGTCCCTCCCCTAATGTGTGTCTGTGTGTGTGTCTGTGTGTGTGTGTGTGATGGTCCCTCCCCTAATGTGTCTGTATGTGTGTGTGTGTGAAGGACCCTCCCCTAATGACTTGATTAGTGTTATCCAACCTCACAGCGACCTCCACTCGGCAGGGGAGACAATTCATTTTTTATCTGACCAGGGGAGATAACCCTATCTTACACCACGGTCTCGCGTTACTGCCCCTGCATCTCTCCGGCAAGACGGTCTAGTTTTATTGCGGCACTTGCTGGGTTTTATTACAAGGATCATTGCAACACACTTGTAGTCGGGTAGTTATTTTAATCTTTTAATTTGGATTACCCGCCCCTTTATTAATCGAATAGCTCTATTTATAATAACCAAAGTAAACGTAAGTGGATTTTTTTAAAATGTCTGAAAGAAACTAGACGGGAAATATAGACGGAAAAAAGTAAGCTCTTAGGTTTGCAGCTGGTGATTACATGTTTATAACTTGTGACGACAAGTGGTGACCCTTAGGTATACAACTGGTGACCTGAGGTTTACAAGTGGTGACCTGAGGTTAACAGATGGTGACCTGATGTTTACAAGTGGTGACCTGAGGTTTACAAGTGGTGACCTGAGGTTTACAAGTGGTGACCTGAGGTTTACAAGTGGTGACCTGAGGTTTACAAGTGGTGACCTGAGGTTTACAGATGGTGACCTGATGTTTGCAACTGGTGACCTGAGGTTAACAGATGGTGACCTGATGTTTACAACTGGTGACCTGAGGTTTACAAGTGGTGACCTGAGGTTTACAAGTGGTGACCTGAGGTTTACAAGTGGTGACCTGAGGTTTACAAGTGGTGACCTGAGGATTACAAGTGGTGACCTGAGGTTTACAAGTGGTGACCTGAGGTTTACAAGTGGTGACCTGAGGTTTACAAGTGGTGACCTGAGGTTTACAGATGGTGACCTGATGTTTGCAACTGGTGACCTGAGGTTAACAGATGGTGACCGGATGTTTGCAACTGGTGACCTGAGGTTTACAAGTGGTGACCTGAGGTTAACAGATGGTGACCTGAGATTTACAAGTGGTGACCTGAGGTTTACAAGTGGTGACCTGAGATTTACAAGTGGTGACCTGAGGTTTACAAGTGGTGACCTGAGGTTTACAAGTGGTGACCTGAGGTTTACAAGTGGTGACCTAAGGTTTACAAGTGGTGACCTAAGGTTTACAAGTGGTGACCTGAGGTTTTCAAGTGGTGACACGAGGTTTACAAGTGGTGACCTAAGGTTTACAAGTGGTGACCTGAGGTTTACAGGTGGTGACAACAAGTATACAAGTGGTGACCTGAGGTTTACAAGTGGTGACCTGAGGTTTACAAGTGGTGACCTGAGGTTTACAAGTGGTGACCTGAGGTTTACAAGTGGTGACCTGATGTTTGCAAGTGGTGACCTGAGGTTTACAAGTGGTGACCTGAGGTTTACAAGTGGTGACCCTTAGGTATACAAGTGGTGACCTGAGATTTACAAGTGGTGACCTGAAGTTTACAAGTGGTGACCTGAGGTTTACAAGTGGTGACCTGAGGTTTACAACTGGTGACCTGGGCTTTACAAGTGGTGACCACTTACAAAAGGTTTGAAGATGACAGCTGTACTACAACAATGGCGCTAATTAGATAAGAGACAATCACGTGACCCCTGTACCGCCCCCTAGCTGCGTCATGTGTCCTCATTGACCCTCCACCCCCCCCCCCCCCCCCCCCGCCATAATGCAATTAGTAATGAGCTTACAATGAGACGATAGTGATGGCACCTGCCTCCCAGTTTGTTAGGGTTTGAACCCCTCCCCGTCAAGTACCTCCACGTAGTCAGTGAATCCCATTTCATATCCCAGCGACCCCATCAAGAAAAGATGGTCAACCATTGGGGGTCAGAAGGGGTCAAAGGAGTGGTCAAACGACCCAGGTGATCAACGAACTTTTTTACCAGCGCCGGTGTCCGCCCCCCCCCCCCCCCCACACACACACCTCCCCCCCCCTGTTGCTATCTTACCTAATCGACACCGTTTGACGCCCCCGTTGGCGATTGATCTATCTCATTGGTGATCGATGGCTGGGTATCGATACTTATCATATCGATTGATGGGTATCGATACTTATCACATCGATTGATGGGTATCGATACTTATCACATCGACTGATGGGTATCGATACTTATCAGCTCGTTATCAGCAGCCTGACAAAAACATCCCTGAGTAGAGCGTGGTACGGCTAACCAACACACACCTGACACAGGTGGATTCTATGCGACACACACACTTTTTAACACACACACACACCCGATAAACTAACACACACCTGACACACACACACTGTAACACACACCCGATAAACTAACACACCATGTCATGTGACCGAGTGTTCCTAGAACTCTATGTCGGAGGCAAACTGCATGCCCGATAGTTCTGTTAAAATTTTAAGATAATCTATATATTTAGTCTCCGCCAACCTCAATATTTAGTCACCGCCAAGCCCAATATTTAGTCACTGAATAGCACTGTATTTAGTCACTAACTAGCCCTATATTTAGTCACTAACTAGCCCTATATTTAGTCACTGACTAGCCCTATATTTAGTCACTGACTAGCCGTATATTTAGTCACTGACTAGCCCTATAGCTATGCCTGATGTAAGACCGCTGATAATACCGCCATAAAAAAGTTTTCAAAACGGTAGTAGCGTCGTAAAGAACTCACCAGAAGAGGTTAAATCTGCTGAGGTTGTGGGGTGGGTGGGGTGGGGGTTAGATAGGGGTGGGGTTAGATAAGAATTAAGGCTAGTGCTGGGGTCAGTGTATGACGGATGACAGACTAGGGTTGGATTAAGGTTAGGAGTTACGGTTTGACAGTCAAGAAAAATGTCAATGTCTCCGCATAAGCATTAACCCTAACTTTATGCAGGTTCTTA